TAGTATTACTTTTAGTCTTAGCCTCTGCTATCCAGTTCATATGTGCTAAAAGGTAGAATTTTTTTAAAGTATATAATATCAAGAGGAAAACTATGAATTTTCTCCTTTTCTAAAGAATTTCTACTTAATATGTAGAATTCTTTTACAGACATCATACTTCAGACATTTTGAAATTGCATTTCAGAAACTAAGTGGTTGGTTTTTTCCCTTTTCTTTTCCTTCTGACTCTCAGAGAGTTTCTGAAACACTAAGGTGCACGATTCAGCCCATGTAATTACAATGAACCAAAACGGGCTGTGGGGCCATGCCCCTCAGTACCCACACTTCAAACACAGGAGGCCCCGAAGCTGTCCCTTGTACTCTGTGACCCAAAGTTCTTTCTGTGGGGATTTATTATTTTTGCTAAAATTTCAGATTAGGATAAATACTAGATATCCTCCTTATGCTTTAGATTACCCCACTGGCATGACAGATGTTCTGTGTAGCTCCATACTTCATGTCAGAAACACACTCAGATCTCCTCCTTCTTTTCCATGAAATAATAATTTTTAAAAAGTTCACTTGGGGATACAGAGGGACAACTATCTAAAGAAATGAAAAACACATATTTTACACGAGAATATTAACTCAGCCAGTTTAGCAGTCAATAAAAATGTCATGGCATTTTTCTGAACCCAAACAAAAGAAACACACAGTTGTTGAAAAACTTTCAAATTTGGTAAATCCTTACATTACTGATGAGGCTATGATCAGTGAGAAAGGTAACAGAGATGCAAGCATATGTGAGCATGACCATATCTGACCTACCCACCGCAGGTGTGTGCACTCACACAGGGGGCCATCTTTTACAAAGATACATGCGAAAGGTAAATGCTAACACTCCTCAAGGTGTTAAGACTTAGAAATTACTGTTTTCAAAATACTAAATGCTAAAAATAGAATACTCCCTTCGATAAGCAATGGATCAGCTAAGCTTAATCATTACCTAACTATTGTTTCACCTTTTCTAACTTAATGCATACTCAGCTTTAAATGAGGTAGTGTGCAATGTCAGAAAAAGCCCTGGGCTCCAGATCAGGTAATCTATGTTTTATTCTTGGCTCTGTCCCTAACTATCCGTTAACCCTGTTGATTAAATTGGTTTTTGCATTTGTAAAATGCAAATTGCCACTAAGGCCTTTCTGTCTGGTTTGATGACTACGGTCAGGATGAAACGGTGTGAGCAGAGCTTTCTGGAGACGTTCTATGTCCTTCCATACCAATGAAAACATTTGTTAGGGTCCAGTATCTTCTCTCCTCTCTTATAACGGTGATGTAAACCACCCAATGAGAGAAGTTCCACTTTTGTACTCCACAATAAGCACCACAATGCAAAGATGCCTACAAGTTGATAAAAATTATGGGTACTTGACATGATTCTACCCACAGTAGGGGGGGGTGGATCCTAGGTCCTTTAAAAAAAAGTTCAATGTACTCTATTCTTACAAAACAAACTAAAGTAATTTCTTCCAATGAGTTCAGTGAAAATGAGTTGGGAGAAGAGAGATCACAAGAGTCTTTGGAGATAAAATAAATGACAATGAGAAAAAATAAAGCATATGTAATGGAAAATGTTTTTTTCAAAACCTTACATTGCTTTTGCTTCAAGATCCTATTGCTTGCTTTTTAATACTTTTGATTTGAGAAACTGGAACTAATAATCTAGCGTGGTGCAAGCAGTGGACAAAGGTGGACAACTTCAGCTAGTGCAGCGGCTACAACGGCAATTCTTTCACGCACATTTTCAGTCCCCACCCAGATGAAGAGGTGAGACTTTTAATTCGTCCAGAAGTTTATAATTAAAATGAGGGAAATACCCAAAATACATCAGTTCATTTCTGACATCCTCGACTCAATGGAAACAGAGTCACGGGATTCACCTTTACTTTTACTAACTTGGTCTCAACCCGAAGGGCTGTAGTGGAGTATGATCTATCTTTTATGCCATGCGGTTCATGATTTTAAAAAAGAAGCAATAGTTTCATTGTGCTTCTTGAATTTTTTCTCTATAACAAGGAAATATAATAAAATTAAATAAAACTAAGTATTTTTAATACCTTCTCATTGTATGTATACAGAAAAACCTTCATCGAATGGACATGACAGGCCCAATGACTGTGGGCGCTGCTCACTACGTGAGGCGAGCACCTGCAGAGGGCCCAGACACCGGGTTCCGGAAGGCCAGTGCCAGTCAAATCAGCTCCACCACGAGAAAGGATACACAGCATTCAGCTATGGAGAAAACCATAGCTCCTCACACAGCTGCTGAACCCACTGATCGGGGGGATCATTGGAGAACTTGTTCCCTGGCATATGTCGTCAGTTTGGCTAAAATAAATTCTTATAAAATTTTTTTTAAAAAAGAAAGTACTGCTTGTTGAAATATCCTGAGTTTATTACCTATTATGCTTCCTGAAGGCAATACAAATGGATAATGCTAAAAAGAAAATCAGCACACTAATATGCAGCATTTCTTCTCCTTTACATATTCCCAAAGGGAAGGGATATAATATTTATTGAGTGCCTACCATGTGCTAAGGATGTGCTGTCTTTTAAATAGTAGACAGTCAATAAATATTTACTATCTGGATAAAAATAGAAATATATAGTTTCTCTCTCATCTTCTCTTAACCAGTATATCAAAAATAAAATCATAAAATCTACAACAAAGTATTGTAGTTTTGATCTCTGTTATTCCGTTTTTACTAGCATATTAACCGATTTTTCTACAGAAGCTAAAAAAGATATAAATAAAGGTAAAAACTATTATTTAGTTGAACTATAACTACTTGATTTTTCTGGAAATCTAATAATTTATAATAATAACTATTCTTCATGTATATTAATTAATAGCTTTTTTCAGTTTAACCAAGATTATTAGAAATTAAGAGGACTTCAACAATTTGAGAACCAATGGTTACATTACTCTTACCCCAATGGCTCCTCTGTTTCATTAAGAGACAATGGAAAAAAATACAACAGGAACAAAATATACCGAATACTTATATTGACCACTTCTGAGTTGTGGAATAAAAGGGTGGTTTTTCTTTTCTTTTTATTTTATTTTTTCACATTTTATTTGAATGTCCAACATGGGGCATATATTATTAATTCAACAGGAAAAAACATTATCAAAATGAATTTTGATACCAAAGAGACAAAATTTAGATTTGAATGTGATTTTCTTTTTAATCTTTCCTGTATTTTCAAAATTTCCTCTAATAAACATGTGTTATTTGAAAGACCAAAAAGGTTATCTTTACAGGTAATGTGGAATAGCACCATATTAAATAGCAAGAAAACAAAACAAACCATAAAAAGACTGCTGTGAATATAGCCTTCTCTAGAATGTAGCTGTTTGCATTATGCCTCCAATTAAGTTTTCTAGGCCTGGGTGGGTGCAGGAATAAGGAACAGACAGAGCCAGGCAATTAATAACCCCCTACCTAAGGAAAAAAGGCAGAGTCTAAGCCACCTGAACTCTGTTCATTTATTCAGGTATCCGTATACATTCCTGGAGGAAACAGCTTTTAGGTCTTTAAGAGAATCACAGACGTGCTATGCAAAGAAAATTTGGAAACAATGAACCTCTGTATGTCCTGTCAGAGTCTAGATACTCTCTAATTCTAACTTCTGTGGTGAAATCCACAAATTTTTTATTCTAGTTTTAAAGTAACAAAGGGCTACATGTACAAGTGGAATTGGTTCCTTTTTAGTAATAGAAGAACAGAAACAGACTGTGAGGGTGTGATTGTGATTCTTATAGAATTTTAATATAACAGGCACGTTAAGCAAATGTATGAAAAGTGTTTCAACACACCCACTATTACTGAACATTACTCACGTACCTGAATAGCCTAAATCTCTTCCGGAATTAAGGGCTTTAGACTTTCATATGCTTTTGAAATCATATTTTCCCACATGAAATAACACTGAACTTCAGAGAGTTTAAATAAGCTTTTATCCAAAACTAGGCAGATCAAAATGACACTATTTCTATACATGTTTTTCCTAACTGCAGGGAAAAAACATGGCGATTATTTATAAGATACTGTCAGCAGTACCGAGAGAGAGAACCTGATGGACAATGTCACTGGGACACACCATTCATTCCAGTAACTCCTTGGTTTCTCAGGTCTGTGCAGTGCAGCTGACAACTTTTCTTGATCTTTGAAAACCACATGATGGGTTGCCATGAGGGAGAATGATGACAAAGTGAATACCCTATTCAGGATGACACACGCTACAATACAGCAATATGTTAACAGAGGAGAACGGGCCTGACATTGGGCACTTGGGGCCTCGTCCCAGCCCTGCCTCGGGCTACCTGGATGAGCTCAGCAAGTCACCTGACCTCAGGGCCTGGGGGTTCTCATCTCTAGAATGAGGACGGTGTAGTTAGCTAGCCACTGAGACTCCTTTTAATTTTAAAATTCTAATTTCTCTCCTTTTAATGGTTGATTAAAACAAGTTTCAGATCTTTCATGTTGTCTTTGAAGAATTCAAGTCCCATGAAAAATTCCAACTGCTTCTTAAATCAAAAGTGTCTTTAACACAGAGCATAAAAGATGACAACCTCCATGTTCACCTTTCAAGTATTGAAGAATGTTATCCACAAAGATTCCCAGCTATGAGAAAACTGACATAGCTTAGACAAACTATGAAATGATTGACATCTGTGGTTATGAAAAAAGAATGAAGTTGAAAGAAAAGAAAGTGGAAGAAAAGAAACTGTATATTTACTTCTTCCTAATCTCAGTTCTAGAAGAAGGGATAATGCAAATATTTTTTCAATACTAGAATCCTTAATTCTGCAGTAGCATGAACTATACACTTTAATGGCTAAAGAGATATTCTTATGTGCCTCCTTTCAAATCTATTAAGTTGTTCTATTGGCACCATCAGAAGAGTACCAATGAATTTATTAGCATGCTGGGAAATGAAACTGAAATCACACAAACCCTTGGGTCCTTCATCCTTGGAGGGGTGAAGGTTCCTGACTGGATCCCGGATACTGCAGTCCGTTCCTGCCCAGGTGAAATCACAGATGCAAGTGGCTTCGTTACTACACACCTGCAAAAAGGAAAGACCAGAGATGGAACATTTTCCTGTCCTTGACAGAATGCTGATGATAAACATAAAAGAGACATGGGACCAGGCAGACACTTTAGAAACCATTTCGAATTTTTTAAAGTCTGCCACAGTGTTAGATATCAGACAAGGGGAAACCATGAGTGGGTCAGAGAGTTGAATGGTGGTTTTTCAGTTAACTAACAACAACCCAAAAGATGAAAAGGAAGGCATTTTATATTAAATGTTAATCATTCACGTTGATATTATCTAAGTACACATATGTCTGACAATGTATTGATAGTTTTTTCATAAGTAGTTGCTAGAAACATATTTTAGAAACTATATTTTAGAAACATATACACTTAATTCAAGGAATTAATAGAGACTGGTCTCAAGAGGCACGGCCAGAGATAAAGACCAGGAGACATAAATCACCAATGCATTGTATTACCTCACCACATTCAACACCAAATTTCATTGGGTGGCCCTGTCCAGCCAAACGACCACCCCTCCCACCTTCCCTGCCTGCCCAGAGTAGCTCTTCTCTCAGTCGTCCGGGCCAAGGCCCTCCTAAAGTAGTGTTTGCCTCCTCTCCAGTCCTCTGGGGACCAAGCAGCAGCTGGAAGGGACTTGGAATTTAGATGAAACATATAGCCATCTGCAAACTACAGACAGAGGAGGTTAAACCCTTATCTGCCTGGGAAAAACATTCAGAAACAGACTATCAGAGCTGACATAATCAACCTTAAGCCTATTGGTATAAGAAGTGTTTTAATCTGAAATGTTATAACACTGTGATTATGATTAACGAGATCAAATTTGACCTTTTTTTTTAACAAGATGAAAAAGTGGGAAGTATAGTTGAGAGTCAAAGGCTCTTTTAATGTATTAAGTTTTATAATGCTTACAAAGCAATGACTTGAGTAATGAAAGGTTCTGCCCACTGCTTTTATTTTAATGCAGCAAGTATTGAGAATTTACTATGTGTCAGGTACCTACGCTAAGTGATTTATGCACAGCACCTCATTTATCCTCACACTAGCACCCTGATGAATGAGAGAGCTTAAGTGACTTGCCCAAGGTCATTGGGATAGCAAGAAGCAGAGTCAGGATTCAAACTCAGGATTCTTTCTAGCCCTTGATCCATGCTCTTGATCACTAGGCTACACAGCTTCCCTTGTGAGCCTCTGAGCCAACCAAACCTGAAACTATAGTTGCTGGGCATATGCTTTTTAGGTCTTTCCACCTTGTTTATCCAATAGCACTTGCTTAGCTCTCTATATTTTGGGTCCTTTTTACCTTCATCCCAGCATCTTCCTTTTCTGTTAAAGTTCTCAGTTTCTTCATGTTCCTTTTATCCATTTCTGAGGTCTGTATAAATTTTGAAACATCTTTCTTTCACTAAGCCAAGTTTAAATAATTATTAAGATTTGTTTTTAGACATTAAGCCTAGGTATGCCAGGTGTGTCTGCCCAAACACTTTGTTCACAGAATCAAGGATGTGCGCGGGTAGAGGGAGCATCTCTTTGACTGGCAATGATACAGATATAGTCACAGGACCTTAAACGTGTGAATTATATCAGCGAGCCAACCTTCAGTGTGGTGTGACCTTGTACACATAGATACCCCACATGCATGCTGAGTAGCCAAAAGGGAATCACTGAGAGGGTTCAGTTTATTTCAAATGGTATAAGTAATCCCATTGGGTTTTCACAGTTCCTTTAAAAATCATATCAATTTTCTTCCAACTCTTTAGATGTCAAGCTGTATGTAGAAAATGTGGTGAATACAAATAGCCAGTGACAAAAGAGAACATGAAAATACAGCATCTCAATACATATGTGTGTTACCGTTAGCAGATAAGGGTACTAAGAAAAGAAAATCATAGTCAATGCACAGACACTGGCAACAGCCACAGAAGGAGAGCTGCTGAACTGGAAGTCCAAGCACCGTGAACTCTGAGGATGCCAGATAATAAAGGTCTGAACTGGAACGCTGATGCCTACTTACCCCATGGCCTGAACAGACTTTACCCTTGGAATCGAGTGGGCAGCTACTCATATTTAGGGCCTGAATCTGTAGGCACTTCCGATCTAAACACATCATGGACGGGCCGCACGGCGTTCCGTCTTCCACATAGCCCACGTCTGTATCATCATCTAAAACCACGTGAGCACCACTAAAAGGAGAAAGATATTCACACAGTCATTAGCGCTGCACTTACAAATGCAATGTCAACATGACTGAGCCTTGCTGTTAGGACACTGAAGAGGCTGCCATTGGACATGGACTTCTCCTAGCATTTCTCGACTCTTCCCTTTCCCTTTCCCCACCGCCTCTTAATAAAAGGGCATGATAAAAGAAACTACCTATCTTTAGCATTACTATAGCACCTGTCTTCAGGAAAAAAACGTCACTTGTACCAAGTGTATTCTAAATCTTCACTTGCAAGACCAACATTAAGACGATAAAGGAACCAATCTTATCATTTGCTCTCCATGGCTTTCCGATGTGTCATGGCACAAAAAGGCAGATGTTGAGCAAAAAGAGCAAATAAAAATATGTTGAAAATTATCATTAGATGATTCGATTATTCATGATAGAAAAAATAAAGTGGTTCTTCTCTACTGATACTGACTCCTACAATGTCAAAGTTCGAAACAACTTAAATTTGAATAATAGTCAATATCCTACAATTACTGACAGAGTACCTTGCTGACCAGTTTACGAATACACCAGTTCAGAATACAACAACATGATTTAATAAGGCCAGCGTGTCTAGAGACATGTGAAAACCTGCATATTCACAGGAAGCTTACGCGCTTCAAACTGCACTTGAAGACAACAGCGTTTTCCAGGGAGGATCTCCCTGTCGGAGACGCTGTGAGAACCGCCTTCGGGCCATGTGAAACACGGAAAAACAGCAATCATTTGACCAAGACAGCATTATCCAGTCTGGTTGGCCAGTCAACTCACTAAATTTTGGTCAAAATTACTTTTGGATGGCTCCAGATCTTACATTCACTCCCATAAGATGAAGGCTTGCTACTCTGAGGAGACGGGATGAGAGTCTGCAGATGCAGAAGGCAATTCTGTAGGGGGATGCCAAAAGCGTTTGGATCGACAGTACCATTTGACTGAAAGCACAGCGTCTTAGAATTATGACTACTTGGAATATAAGATGAGTCCCTGGCTTAAAAAATAAGCCTCATATTTTCTGTGCCTTGTACCCATAGGTAATTGGGTATCAAATGTTTGCCTACAGCTATAAGTAGTATTTTAGTAAATCGTTTCTATATGTGATGAAGTATTTATTAAACCACCTTCTAAACCAGACACATCTCCATGAAACAAAGCTTAAACTCTTTTTTTTTGGTAATAAATAATAAAACACAGTGTTCAAACAATGACATATTCCAATGCTTAAAGCTTTAATCATGGGTCTAAAGAGATAGCATAATTGTACTTTTAAGATTGTATAATTACAAAGAATGCCTCATTACTAATAACTGGCACAATTTTTGAACAAATGTAATTTGCAAGTCTAGACACGACTTTGTCTTGCAGATGACGCTTAGCATGAAAAGTGATGATAAAGCCTCAGTCAACATTCCTCTCCTGAGAAGTAGGAAATTTCCTTTGATTTTTCTAACTCTGTGATTCTCATGATTCATTCATTAGGTTCCCCAATATTTAACGTTACCTGCAGTCAATGACCCGGCCCTGATGATAGAAGGAAGTGGGGATGATCTCTCCCTGAAGTTGGCCAATACGTGGAGCTCGTGTGAGATTGGTGCAGAGTAAAAATCCACAGAACACATCACTAAACATGTTTTAAAAAGAAGAGTAAGACAGGAGGAATTATGCTAAAAAAATCAAAGCTATTCAGTCCATAAAATTCAAAATGTGAAAACATTTTCTTTCTTTCCAAACAAAAACATCAGGTCAGATACTGCTGGTTGGCTATGCCCCCCCTGCTCCCTGGCGGACAGGGTCACACTGTTGTTTGGAGGTAGCAAAGGGCTCAGCCCTGAGAGACACCAGGACTGGTGCCTGAGCTAGTCACGCCCTTCCATTCCCATATCCTCTTTCGCAGCCATCCTTCCTTCTTATCCATCTAGAGCTACAAGTGGCTTGTGGGTGTTGAGAAACGAGAAGAAGCTGGCTAAGAAGTTGCTTGGGAGAATTTTGCTTTCTAGATAGAAGCTCAGAGCCTGACAGGAAGATCTTTGGTTCCTGCCTTGGCTTCCTGCCTTTGAACGTGAATTCTTTCCATCTAACCTGTAATCGTTAAGTTCATAAGCATGAAGATACAAACTCTGTATGCAACAACATGCAGAGTGAAGGGGCAAAAATGATCTGGGTGCTAAGAGAGGAAAGAAGGGGAAGGGCCTGGTTACAGAAAAAGTGTGAATGACCCACGGGCATGGACAACAGGGTGGGGAGTGACTGTGGAAGCCGGGGCAGGAGGTGGGCAGGGAGAGCAACAAGGGGAAAAATGGGACACCTGCAATAGAACAACAACAAAAAAAATGGTAAAAAAAATAAGATGTCCTTAACATTTTTAAATGTACTAAAATTTCCACAAAAAGGCAAAAAAGAAAAGTAGAAGAAATCACCTGGGTGTTTAGTGACATTATTCAATGACTCATCCACCACGAGGGCTCCTACCTCCAGCCCATTTAAGTAAACCATGACTTTCTTTTAAAAAATGGGCAAAGGATTAAAGTCGTACATCACACACACAAAAGGAAATCCACTGTCCAAAAATGCATGAAAATGTACTACATTCCAACTGTAATTAGGGAAGTGAAAATTAAAACCACAATCACATAGCAGTTCACACTCACCGGAACAGAGAAAAGTAAAAAGTCGGGTAATACCAAGCACTGGTGAGAATGCAGCCCCAAACTCTCATACACATATTACTGCCAGTAGGGTTTACTGCAGTACACCCGTTTTAACAAGAAAACAGTACGGCATTACTTTGGTGGCACTGAAAACATACATCCCTATTTTATGGATAATCACAGTTATTTTTCTTGTGGGCACAGGCCTTAGAAAAATGTGTCCGTATGTGCACTAAGCTGTGTGTAAAGAACACTCACAGCAGCATGGCTCCTAATACCCCAAACACAGAAACAATCGAAATGTCTACCAATGCAGAATGGGGAAATAAATTGTGGTGTATGGCAACAAATGTGAATGAAGGTGAAACAAGTGGACAAAAAAAATGAACATTTAAAACACTGAACTTGAGAAGCAAAATACAAAATAATACAGAAAGTATGATTCCTTTTATATAAAGTTATCAAAACTTTTAGCAAAACACTTAGCCAAATGTTCATGAAATGAACAAAAATGGTATTTTACTTTGAGTGCCCCCCAAATGTACACAGTCTACATGTGTTGCTTTGGAGCTCTGCATATACTAGACCATGCATAGGACCTATCTTGTAGCAACAGTGTCCAATTAAAACCTAATATTAATTTGTAATACTGTGGCAAAGCATCTCTTCAAAACAAGCATCAGGTAAAACACAGCATGTGAGAAATTTCCTGAGTTTTACAGAAATGGTGAGTCCATGCCATAGAAACAGTGTAGTCTGTGGCCATATCCCCACATATTTTTTAAATGTATACTTTAAAATTTAAAATACTTGACACTGACTTACAAATCAGTCACATTTACTCTGGGTCCAGTTCACACTGGGAGCGGGGCTTCCCCGCCCACTGCTCGGGCCCCAAGGCCGGTCACTCACTGTTTGCTGCACTGGATCCATCGGTCTCCGTCCTTCCCACAGTTCCCCTTCTCCGTGCCTTCTGTGTTCAGCTTCTCGTAACAGAACTTGTCAGACCCTGAAGCCTCTTTTGGAGATGAGCGAGAGAAGGAAATTTACTTTAGCTATCTTCATTATTGATAAACAAACAAATAAATAAAGAGAACTATATTATAGTTCTCTAAATAAAGTAGTTCTCTTTATTACACCAGTGGCACGCCAGTAAATGTTTGACAACTGATTCTCCAGAAAAACAAATCTTAATTTGTAGCACTGACCAATTTTTCCATGGTATAAATACCATTACGTAACGTTCCATGGTGCAATACATGGTGAATTTCAAAGTATCAGTGTGATGTTGACTGGCTTCTAAAATTCCTGAAATTTTAACAGATGGCTCTCCCAAGCGAATACAAGATCGCTTCAACACACCACTGCTTTTAACTTGAGAGACAATGCACTCCCAATGCTTGCTGGTGAGTTGAGGGTAGGAAGTAGCAATGATCATCAGCAGAAATTAGTAAAGTGACACATAGAAGACTACTAAACATTCTTATTGTTGTTTTATATTAATATTAGGAGATACCATAAAGTCTTAGCCAATTGACATTTTACGTTGGCACCTGGGTGTCTATATTTAAACCTTTTGAAAGAAGTATGTCTCTACTGTCTTTTGTCTGTCAAAACTGAAGCACCAAGAGTAAATCTTTTAGTTAAATGGCACTGGCCAAGCACTTATGCATGGGCTCCATTCTCCTTTTGTGTACTTTCTGTTTCTTTGGAGGTGACCCAGCCTCAACCACATAGCACGCCCATTTCTCTTTCTTCTGGTCTGGCCCTCGTGAACTGGAGTTCACTGGAGAGGCACTGCCAATGTCAGGAAGATGGTGCGCGTTAACATTCCTAGAACGTCCTGAGAATCATGGCACGCACCCAAATCTCTGTCTGCCTGCACTTGAGGCAGCACCTGCATTTCTTCACTTGACACTGAGGCTAACAGATTGCAGAATTTAAAAAATAAGGGCTAGAACTTTCCTGGGGTAAAATAACAGAAAACTACCTTTTGGAGGTAACTGTTAAATCCAGGATACAAAATAAATTATGCAAAGGGCTGGGTAATGAATGTGACCATTGCACTCAACCTAGTCTTTCCAAGTGGATGTACTATCCCTTCTCTGACAGACACAAGCACTGACCGACACTGTTCAGTTCTGATGACCAGTCACCAACTTCAGCAATTGTTATTGGTGGTTCTGTGACTAAGATTCACAGTTCTCTTTATTTCATCCTTTTGCAGATTTTTAAAAAGAACACATCACTCCAAACTACACATCTCTTTCAGCAAGACTGGTGGAGAAGAACAATATGAAGAGAAGATTGTGTGTGACCGTCAACAGGAAAACGCAACCTACTCGTTCCCCAGATGTACTGACACTGGTTGTCCCGGGTCTTGCACTCCCCACTGTAGCAGCGGCCCTGGGGACAGGGACACATGCATTAGCAGGCACAAGGAGCCAGTTCTGTTTCCTCCCCCCACAATTTTCACAGTGAAAATGAGAATCACAAACATCTTAGGACAAGCGCAAGCCTAACAGGCCATTAAAATCTAAAACTCCGAATGGACCTCATAGTACAGCTCTTTAAATCTAACCTGATCACCTAAAATTTTAAATTTTATGGTAAACAAAAATTGGTATACTTCTTTGGATAAGACCAAAATGATGCTGAGCTTCTTCTGTTTGTGAATAGTTAGGTTATCACATGGCTTTAGGGAGAAAAAACACATTATAACAGATTGTCATATTTTTTCATAATAAACAGACTGGAGTTACTGAAAGATAGTCACAACTCAATAAATTAGATTCCTAATTTTTGCCCTTAATCTGGACAATTTATCATCAGAGTTAAATATAATACAATTAGTATTTGGTATGATACAAAGCAACTCTGTATTAGAAGACCACTCGAATAATTTACTATTGTTTGAGTTATAATTTCCTTTTAAAAATTACATTTATTTAAAAAAACCCTTGTAAGCAAATTCATTTAAAATTATTTTTAAAATGAACATGCCAGCATACCTGATTTTGATTGCATGCGTATCCATCTTGCTTATGAAGGTTTGGTGGGCACTGAAAAATACAATCTTTTTAGTTAATGTTCATCATGTTAAATACCTTCAGGTTACATGCACAATATATAAAATAAGCAAAGAAATTCAAGCATTGTGAATATATAATTAGAAGTGTTTAGGAAAAATGTGAGTAATTCCTTAAGTAGATTATACAAATTAATTCTCCCATTATAGGTAAAAATTAATAAATTAGGTCCACACAGTTGGTGTTTTTTTATGTTTCTCTGTTTTCCATGACGTAGACTGGAATAATAACTTATATTTACTTGCCTACAGAGTTAAAAGCAGAGGGATTAAAATGGACAATGAAGAGATATGAATCAGCTTGTTATGCAGGAGCAGACACATTCAGGAACTAATTTATAGACTCGCTCAGCTCTGTGAAAGATGTCAAATCTATATTTGACACCCACAACGTGTGCGTATAGGCAATATTATTGAAAGAGAGAGAGAGAGAGAGAAAGAGAAGGAAGGAAGGAAGGAAGGAAGGAAGGAAGGGAGAGAGAGAGAGAGAGAGAGAGAGAGAGAGAGAGAGAGAGAAAGAAAGAAAGAAAGAAAGAAAGAAAGAAAGAAAGAAAGAGAGAAGGAAAGAAAGGAGGGAGGGAGGGAGGGGGAGGAAGAAGGGAAGAAAGAAAAAAAGAGAGAAAGAAAAGAAGGAAGGAAGAAAGATCCTCCCTTCAAGTCCATGTAAGTGCTGTATCTCCATTACATTTCTGACCTCTCAAACCACAGACCTGTTACTAGAACAATCCTGATGTGATGGATATTTCTTTTGCCAGGTCTATTTATCAAATAATTATTTAAAAGTACACTTCATTTTCGCCCCAAATGATCCTGAATACATTAAGTTAAAGTGTTTATTCTCTGTGCATTTCATTTACCACATTTAAGTCAGCTAAAAAAAAAGTTCAATCCAAAGTCTCTGGTACAGTGTTCAAAGCAAATGTGAAAAGGGAAACACACACACACACACACACACACACATGTGGCAAGTAAGAAACACAGCAATATGCACTGAGGTCCTGCCTTAGTTTTCTGTCACCTCCTCAGGAAAGGACAGTTGCACTCTTTCAATTATCCAGGCCCCAAATAATTGGAACCATCTTCTATTTCTCTCTTTCTAGACATCACAGAAAGCTAACACTTTACTAAGGAACACTTTGGGATAAAGTGCTTGGGTTCTACCTCTTTCTACAGAATATCTGACTCTATTATAAGCCGTCATTCACTACAGCTTTTCATTCAACCTGATGGTGACTATTCAAAGGATATAATTATCAGCACTAAACCCTGGCATACCGAGCCAACTACACAAAAACAGAGATCCCTGTGGTCTCTTTCATCCATCCAAATCCACTCAAAACACAGTCATTATCTTATTAATCACTAACATTAATTATTCACCGACTCCAAGACAAATACAACCGCATGGAACAAAAGTGAACAAGAAATGCTGCTACCACAATAGGCACGTCAGGGTCTAAAATTAATTTGTCGTATTTGCTCTTTTGTGATGGTTCAGTAAGAAAGAACTCATAGAATTCCTTACCAATGAAAAACTTCTTCACCTTATTACAAGCTGTCACAGCTACATGCAAGATTTCTCATCAATTGAGTTTTAGTTTAGGCTAATAAAAGCCAGTGGCTTATCGCTGGAACGTTTAACAAGGGAAATTATGGAATGTTTTATGGTCCTGGGAGACACTGAAAACAGGAGAACCATCAATCTGTGCACTTCCTTCTGCCTGCGTGGTAACAGGCCTGTGAGCACAGCTCAGGACACCGTCTCCAAACGCTACCCCAGCCCCACTTCCGCGCTGTGCACGAGGGTTCCCATGAGGGAGGCTTCAGTGCGGTAGCAGTTAAATGGGCTTGATTTTAAGTCATGTCCTACTACCCATTGAGAGGACATATTTCACAGCACCAACAAAAAAAACATTTCCCACATCTTTCTAAAATATCTTTACTGTGTCACCCAGTGTTGTGTGACAAGGAGTTCTCTCGGTTGCACAAGTATAGCTGATTCCATTGTAAACTGGGAAGTTTCAAAGAACCTCAAAGCCATTAGTTGATGCTAACACCAAAATTAAGCAAAAACATACCATGAGATAAAAGAGATAAAGTCATGATGTCGCCAGTCATACTGATTCTCAGCAATGCAGAAATTCTCAAAGATCACATTTTCTTCATCATTATTAGTATGGATTAAGTTCAAAGTTCACTGCCCCTCACAAAGCCAAAGACCTGGAAGGTGCCTCAATCCCTCTCTGCCAATTACCTGTTTCAGGCTCCGTCTTGTCGTTTAAGGAAATCACTAAGAGAACATGCTATCCTAATAGGCCTCTGAGAAATTAATAATATGGTTTTTACTTTAGACATATGAGATAAAAAGAACATTTTTAAAAATTTAGACAATAGAATATTTGATTGAACACAGAGCTCTCATAATAAAAGTCCTGTTTCCAGGAAATGCTATGGCAACTCAGGAGTTAAAGGTGGAAATGGAAATATTATACTTCTAAAAGAGCTGAATAGACAGAACCAAAACAATGTATGATGGGTACAAAAATAGTATTATTCTGTAAAACTAAAAATATAACTCAGGGACATGTGTATCAGGAATGTCAGAATACTTGACATAAAACACAAAATCCACATGATTCTTACACTTTGCCACTATGTTGTAACACATTTTACAAAGAAACCTATTTACATATTTAAATATAAGAAATAGATACACATAAAAATCACAAAAGAACAGCCTGAACACATTTCAACTGTACCATATCCTCACAAGGGCCTGTGAGGACTGAGTCCCAGATGATATCTATCGAGAACTTTCAAAAAGGTCACCTGGAACCTTTCTTTCCCTCTGCTCTTGTCCTTCCAGGGAAGGAAGCTCAGTGTAACTCCAGCTCCTCTCAGGTCCCTCACTCACTCCTTCCCCAGGCAGATAGAGCAGCTGACTGGTTGATAAACTTGGGAAGAAGAACGGCATTCCGGCTCTGGTCCACTACTCCTCTCTTGCTTAGTCCCACAAATCATTCTCTCTAGCTCCTCCATGACATACAAGTGAAGGGCCAGGTGTTGCAGAAAGAAGTCAGCCCAGACCACTTCTGTCAATAACCTGTTGCTATAGCCTGAATCTGGGATCTAGAAAGAGGGCCATTTAGCCCTCACACTAAGCCATGGCTTTTAACTTGGACATTTTCAAGAATAAAAATGATATGCTGGCCTCCATCTCTACTCTATTTATTGGTAGCTCCCTGGAAACAATACACTCTGGCCATAGGTAACTCCACTCCTAGGAACCTATCCTAATTAGCTAACCTTAAACAAGAAACACTCTTAAAAAGCCATAAAGGTGTCTCTGCCATATTAATTATAATAAAAAAAAGTTGCCAACAATCTAAATATCCATCACTGGATACAGAAGTCAACTAATACATATGAGAAATTCATGCAATCATAAAAATGATATTTTTATGTAATAAATGGTAATAGTATAGGAAATACTTTTTAAGTAACATCAGAATGAATAGGAAGGTAGAATAAAATCCAGAATTCTTGCCAAGTTCCGACCTATCCTGATTCCTGACTTCCCCCTGAACTGCTCTTGCTATTCTACAGCTAGCTCTGCTTTCATTCCATTTCTGGAAGAAGTCAAGCTTCCGTACCTGCTCTTTTCTGCCAAGGTCCTTCTCATCTGTGTTTCTACTTAAATGCCAGCTCCTCCAAAACGATATACCTGACCACCCCACCAAAAGCTCCTGCTCCACCATTGTTTTCATATCACCTCATTCTATGCTTAGCTTTTAGCCCCATCTGATATCGTGTTCATTTTTTTTCCTCCACCCAGCAGAATGGAAGAGCCAGAAAAGCAAGGATTTGTCCATTTTGATCCCTACCACATCCCAATATTTACAGCAGTGCGTGACATACAGTAGGTGCTCAAGCAATGTTCATCTGAATGACAAATGAAGACTTTAAATAACATGACATTAACTTTTAAAGCCATAAAAAGCACATAAATAAGGAAGGTTAGAAGTCGACATGAATTATAACGTTACAATAACTTTGACGTGAGGAAGACCACACCACAGCCTGTGAACCGCGAAGCTGGGCTTCGTAAGCAGGAGCTGAGGAAGGAGGCTCCGCTCCCAGCCCCGCTCCACCCAGAGCAGCGCGGCTTGTCTCCTGCCTTCTGCACTGGGCTTCCATCCAAACTCTTGTTTTTAAAAAGGGTTTTGTGGCTTAAGAATGTTTGGAAACAGTACATTAGTGCTTCATTAGTGTTTTAGATGTGGGGATCAGGAAAGAAAAATCAATTAGTTGGGTATAAACCATATAAAGGGAACTAATTATGAAAAGGAAACTTGGAAGAAAAAGAGATTTAGATCCAAAAATCACAACAAATGTTCTTAAAATAAAGGCAGGGTGGAGAACTAGAAATTACTAGAAAACAAAGCAAAACAAAGCAAACAGCCAAAGCATATTCGCACATGTAATCCACATGGAAAGCTCTAAGATGTGCATTTACACATAACATGTGGTACCGAGAACTCAGACCGCCGTACCTGGCCGGAGTCCCCAGTACAGTACTCGGTGATGTCACACCCATTCACAGCATCCCGACATTCATATCCTCTTGGCTGAAACTGCAAATCAAAATTCAGCGTTAGGAACTAGTACTCATTACTATTTCATAGAGTTAGCATTCTGAGGTTCACCTATAATTTTGATATTCTCTCACAACTATCACCAAACTCTTAGCATGAATTAGCGAGATGGTTGCAGCACAGAGGCAAGGCCCAGTTACCACTCACTGTAGGAAATACGAATCATTAGCCAAGGCAGTGAATGTTCGGATTTCACAACCCACTGTCTCGGAGTATCAGTTGTAAAACACAATGTGATGGCAATTATGCAAAGATGCAACACTGGTGTGCCGTAAGACAGAACAATACTAAGATATAAACATTTAGGATTTTTCTGAAGATTTGTGTACATGCCCAATGTCCACTAACAAACAATAATCTTGGATATTAATCTTGCTTTAGCTAAATATAACACAATCAAATTTCAGTGGTTTCCTTTGGTAACACCAGTGAATGCCTTCTGTATACAAGGGACTTTGTTTGTCTGAGAGGGAGTAAGTAAAAGATGCAGGAAAAAGCCCATGACCTTCAAGCAACTTATAATCTGGACATAAGGTGAGTATAAACTAAGCTGGAATCTTCTGGAATACCGTAATGTTTAATACCCATTAATACTGAATAAAATAATCAACACTGTGTACTTTTATGGGTAAAAGTAATATTAGAGGTTTTTACAGATGAGAAATGGGAAGATTTTAAAAAATGACTTTTCAAAATTAACTGACCTCCATGCATGGAAGGAACTATGTGCCCATACACACATAAACACACATTCATACAGTGCTTCCTTATGCAGCTTTTTTGCCTTTATAGGGGATTTAAAGAGTTAAATGTATGAAATGTGAGCACTAGCTTTTATGCTCAGGGTCTAAAATGAAAAGACCACAGGAACTGTCCCTCTTCTATTCAACCACTTAACCTGCTTTTCACCTGTGTTAATAGGGCAACACTCAATGTCTATTTTGGAAGAAGTATGGATATAATTTTGAAGGAGACATTGGAGGATAGGATGGTTGACAGTGAATCACAGTAAGGGTAAATGTTGTTGCCCACAGAATTTGGGTAGATTTATTGATTTTACAAAATTGCCACGCACCCTGTCAACCAACCAATTTGCGACAAACCATACACATGCTCAATGTGTATACTGGGATATTCGGCTAATGTGCCAATGAAAAGAAAGGTGAAACTGTCCGGAAACTCACCAGACATGAGGTGTTGTTGCAGCAGGGACCGTCGCTGCAGTGGGCCCCATTGGAGAGAGAGCATTTCTTACAGCACACTCCATAGCATTCCTAGAAAAAATACTTCACGTAAGTAAGGGAGGAAGCTTACCCACTGGTCACTCAGCAGTCTCTCCACATTTGACTCATGCATAATTCAGACAAGGAGATTATACTACAGTAAAAAAAGTACTTTAGGAAAGAAATAATCACTTAAACAATGATAGATTTCCTTCCTGCCATATTCTCAACAAAGCATGATCTTCTGGGAAAGGGCTTCTCTACCAAAAAGGCAGCTTATTTCATAGTAGGTACCCCACCTTTGCACAGCTCTATTACATTCTTAGTGCTCAATCTAGTGTTATAAAGAAAAAAACACACAACACAGAAATAGAAGTGTGAGCTATGAATTTTTAAGAGGTAGGGAATTTGATTAGAAGGCTCTATTAGGTTTTTTTCTGATAGGGCCATAAGGACATGATTAACTCTAAAGCGCCCGAACTGGGATGGAGCACTGAGGAGCAAGATCAGAAAGAAAGGCAACAAGACCACAGTGGACGACAGTGCGGGCTTCTCACTAATGTTACCCATCTTTGCTCTGGGTGGGAGCTGCGCTGCAGGTAGAAACGAACCCTGATACCTACCACATGGAAACCACAGTCACACTCCTCCCCAGCTTCTACATATCCATTGCCACACTCTGTGGGCTCAAATAGCTGGAAGACATTAGGGAGAGAAAAGGAAAACATTTTAATTTATCACAGAAAATCAGCACACCAATAGGGCCCTTCAATCAGCTGTCACGTGATATTCTGTGATCTGTTGTAACGGCATCTTATAAATGTGTCTGTGTGGGAAGTGCTGTTCACTTATTAATAACATTCTAAAAACCATGTTTTAAATGGGGTAATATCTCTTGGAGACTCTCTGGTGGTGGGCTCCTGAGATGACCTCCACCATTACTGCTACTTTTATGAAAATAAGCTGTCAAGAAGAATGGATCACTTCTCATATTTGCTAATGGAGCTAAGATGCATTGCTAATAAGACTCACATATCTAATTTGCTGACTTATCTCAAGGCTGCTGAGAAGTCATCAAAATTGTCAAAAAGATAAAAATGCTTCAGGTACAGCCAAATGTAATATATACTATCAAGTAAATGCAAATAAGCTTAGAAAAAGGTGTGGCTGGAAATCCACATCCATCATTGTCATTGAAAATGAATCCATAGTACCTGAAGCATATTAAATATACATGCAGACATATGCATGAATGTATAGAAATCTCTCAGTCATTCCTGGAACAATGGAAGAGTCTAATGTCTAGAATAATTCACCCCCGGGTCCTATGAATTTGCTTGCCAGATAAAGTTTATTTCAACCAAATGTGGAAGCAGCTGATTGTTTATGGGAAACATTCGTATTTCCCTTAACCTGGGGCATGATATCTCTGAGCATGTCCACCACACACCTTGGTGAAGACTGGAATAGCACATCCCAACCCAAAGTCTTAGAGGCATGAGTATGAGAGGGAGCAAGAGACTCCTTCCCCAGCAACATCGCACACCCAAGGAAGAGGTGAGTTCCACTGAGGACCTGAGAAAGATCTGACCCTCCTTCCACTTCCAGGAAGGAGACCTATTATAAGAAACAAGGGAAAATAGAGGCATAGGTAAACACAGCTCACCTTCTTGCACAACCACAGCAAAGATTACAATTAAACAACAAATCAACTATCACCCAGAATCATCAGAAAATCGAGCTGTATGGCAGTCCAACAACCAAGACATTAAAGAAGTCACATTCATGCCGATGAGCAGGGAGTTAGGCGGGGTGGAGATTCATAGAAACACATGAAGACATAGAGATGTGGAGATGCAGAACAGGAGGTCCCACACCCATGTGTGATGGATAAAAATCAGGAGGGATACCTCGGGAGGGAGGGATCCAAGCCCCACATCAGACCACCCAACCTACGGTTCCAGTGCCAGAAAGATAAGTTCCCACAACTTCTGGCAGTAAAAACCACTGGGGCTTGGGGTGGTGGAGAAAACTGAAGGATTCTCAGGCATCTACTCTTAAATGGCCTGCAGCAGACTTAGGACTTAGGCAGACTCACTCCCTCTGGACTCCAGCATCAGGGCAACACCTGGAAGAGCACCAGTGGCATACAGGGAGAAACTGAAGTGTCTGGCATCAGGGCAAGTGCTGGGAGACAGCTTCCTATTGGACAAAACTCCAGAAACCAGGCAGAGGCTTTGTCTCCATTCCGAGCTCTTCCCCACACAGAGCCCCAGCGGGGCGACACCATATCGGAGATTCCACCAACCTGGTTCACAGGGGTTGCCTCGCCATGGCGATTACCTAAGGGTCTACCCCATCCACAGTACTGATGTGCTTTTCTACAACAGGCCACACCACTAAGACAAGGAGTCAAAGCAGCTCTACCTAATACATGGAAACAAAAACAGGGAGGCTGCCAAAATGAAGTGACAAAGAAATAGGATCCAAGTGAAAAGAACAGAACAAAACTCCAGAAAAGGAACTAAACAAAATAGAGATAAGCAACCTATCAGATGCAAAGTTCAAAACACTGGTTATCAGGATGCTCAAGGAATTCATTAGGTACTTCAACAGCATAAAAAAAAAACCCCAGGTAGAAATGAAAGTTACACTAAGTGAAATAAAGAAACATTTACAGAGAACCAACAGTGGAAGGGATGAAGCTGAGAATCAAATCAATGATTTGGAACATAAAGAAGCAGAAAACACTCAATCAGAACAGAGAGAAGAAAAAAGGATCCAGAAAAACAAAGATAGAGGAGCTGCTGGGACAACTTCAAAAGTGCCAACATTCGAATCATAGGGATGCCAGAAGGAGAAGAGAAAGAGCAAAAATTGAAAACTTAGTTGAAAAAATAATAAGAAAACTTCCTTAATTTGGTAAAAGAAATAGACATATAAGTCCAGAAAGCACAGAGAATCCCAAACAAGATGGATGCAAAGAGGACCACACCAAGACACATCATGATTAAAATGCCAAAGGTTAAAGATAAAGAGAGAATCTTAAAAGCAGCAAGAGAAAAGCAGAGAGTTACCTACAAAGGAGTTCCCATAAAGCTATTAGCTGGTTTTTCAAAAGAAATTTTGAGGCTACAAGGGACTGGCAAAAAGTATTCAAAGTGATGAAAAGCAAGGACCTACAGCCTAGATGACTCCAGTAAAGCTATCATTTAGAATGGAAGGGCAGATAAAGTGCATCCCAGACAAGGTAGAACTAAAGCAGTTCATCATTACCAAGCCATTAGTATATGAAATGTTAAAGGGACTTATTTAAGAAAAAGAAGGTCAAAACTATGAACATTAAAATGACAATAAATTCACAACTATCAATAACTGAATCCAAAAAACAAACTAAGCAAAAAAAGCAGAACAGAAACAGAATCATAGATATGGAGATCATTTGGAGGGTTATCAGTTGGGAGGGGGAGGAGGGAGAATGGGGGGAAAGGTGCAGGGATTAAGAAGTACAGATTGCTAGGGACAGAATAGGCAGGGGGATGCTAAGAACAGAGTTGGAAACGAGTAGCTAAAGAACCTATATGCACCACCCATGGACATGAACTAAGGGTGGAGGGGATTGCCAGAGGGAAAAGAGGGTCCTGGGTGGAGGGAGGCAAAAAGGGAAAAACTGGGACAAATGTAATAGCATAATCAATAAAATATATTTAAAAAAAGAAACAAAGAAGGTTTCCAGGAAAGTTGGGTGGGACTCCCCTGTGGGAAAGTCCAACAGTCCTGTATCCCGTGTTTTGATCGGCGGGCAGGAGAAAATGGAAAAGGGAAGGGCAAACCAGAACAGGACCGGGGCTTTATGTCAGGCAACCCACATGGAAAACATGGTCGTTGGGAAGGTTCCCACTGCACAGAAAAGATGCACGTAAGTAATGTAAAAACACATAAAACACGCATACCTGCAACCTAACTAACAACACTCGAAAAAAATCTGTTCTTCATTACACACACATAAATTCTTTCACTGGAATCCAAAGGGGCTTTTTAAAAAGCATTCTAATATGCAGTTTTATATTTACTAACTTTTAAAAGTGAAGGGGTATAGTTATTTTCATTAGTTTCTGAGTTACTGGAATCATTTTCTTTCCACACACAGGCAATGTCAGGAACCTAATCATGAACCCTTATTCACACACCCAAAATCTTAACCTTTGCAAACAACTCAGTGTTGTTTCCTTACATGTGATGCTTATAATTAGTTGGTAAGCTCCAAGGCAGATACAATTAGCCATGTACACTGCAACTCAAAAGTACCAGTCGCTGACATTAATTCATCATTATTCATTTCATCCACTTTGAATACTCCGGAGTTTTCAGATTTCTGTCATATTGAAATGAATGCCATAAAAGGCAGGCAGCCAAGTTTAATGATGCAAGTTCACTTTCAAATTCCTGTTTGTTTTTCTGCAGCCCCACTGAGAATTTATACGAATGTCAGGCATCAAACTACCATCCCCCGACTACAGTAGAATCACTCAGTTATGGGATGGGAACAAATTATTCCGTCAGTTATCCCCATCAGTCACTGATTTTTTAAAAAGGCTAACATGATTGCACTGCTCTCTCAAGTTGCAGAGTATTAAAACATATTGTATAGCGACAACTATTTTTGACTTATGAGGTAGTATTTTGAAAGGAAACATGAAATGTGCAATGCTAGAATCTCAATACCATCTGCTAACTAGCATCGACCCTGCCTGTTTGCCTGTTGGGCGATGTCCTCCAAACATCTCACTATAGGCCCACAGGCCCTTATCCAAAGCTGTACAGCAGGAGAATTTCAGAATTCTGGCTTATCTGAATTTTAGAGAAGTATGATGCATTTACCGCGTTCCATGTTATAGCCCCAAGTGGACTGGCGCATGCCCTACAATCAAACATATTAACACATTTCCAATGTGTCTTCTATAAACTCATAAAAAACACTTCTAACTTTCAGAGCTTTTTGAATGAAAGGATTCTTGGATAAGGCACTGTGTGACATTGTGCATGTGAACTCTAATGAAATGTCAACTGACAACGTGGACCTTCCCAAGTAGAAACTGTGTAGTATAAATATATACATGTACTTATGGGATCCGAAAACACTTCAGGCCATTTTCTGGCTCACTGATATTAGAAATGCTTTCTTTCTGGGAGAATAGACCACTGAAAAAGGAAGAAGAAGGGAGGAAGGAAGGGGAAAGGAAGGGAGGGGAGGGGAGGGGAAGGAGGGGAGGGGAGGGGAGGGTTGGGGAGGAAGGAAGGTAGATAGATAGATACATGCAGGCTAACACCTTAGTTATACTCCTAGAGAGAATGGTAAGGGCAAATGGAATTTCTGTCAGATAAGTAAGTTGAAGTAATCTATCTTAACCCAACCCACTATTTCTTAGCAGCAGCATGAAAACCCTAACATGAAAATTTCAAAGATATTTTAGAAGATTATTTATTTTGGTCGGGGGAGGGTTCGGTGGAGGTGTAGCTGGCACCGAAAAACCAGCGATGCAGAGCCGTGAAGCTATAGTTTTGTCACTTATTTCAACAGGTCTCAGTCTTCAACATGATAAAGCCTTTGGTAACTAAATATTGATCTGCCTGACCACAAACCTGCTTTCCAAGACAGGTATCTGATATTTGGCACTCTTCTGTTGTAAAAAAAAAAATAGAGAAGTAATTAGACATTCTAAGTTACTAACCTTTGTTGGCCTATTGAAAAGACAGGCTCCACCCCCTCTCTGTAAGAAGTCTCTATACTCCAAAATGCTGCACTTGGAGAACTTTCGGGAATGGGAAACCCTGAGGAAATAAAGGATCAATTATGTAAAAAAAAAAAACTTCCCCAAAACAGTCACTAAAGAAGAAAACTAAAACCCTAAAATTAGAACAAAATATTCACTTTGGACCCAGATGATTTTACACAAACTCTGACAAGGCACTTTACATTCAAACAGCCAAATAATAAGTGTGATAAGAGTTTATAAAAACAGAAATTCAAAGAAAATCGCAGATTTGGGAGCAAGGTTCCAACCTGCTCAGCATTCAAGCCCTTTGTTGCCTGGGCTTGAAAGAGTTTTTGAAAAGCTCATCACATAACCTGTTCGTCTAGGCGGTATTTTGAGATGAGGTCATTTTCATTTGCTCTGTCTCAGTAAAGGCAAGTACTTTTTTGCCTCCATCCTGAGTAAAAAGAGCTTGGGAACCCACTAGATTTTATTTTGAGGAGGGAGTTGAAATGGTCAATTTATTAAAGATTATATAATACAAGCTTCAGGAAAACAATTTGGGTTAATGAGGAAACCCTAAAAAGATGTTAGAACACACACATGTATGTTTTTAGTGTGTATACACGCAACAGAATTAGGGCAAACTCCTATGAATAACAGCTTCTTATTCTCAACCACAAATACTACTATGGAGTGGCATTCACGATTTAGTAGGACTGCAACATGAACCTCTCTAAGATTTAAGTAATCAAATTACTATCTCTATGTCAGTCAGTGCCTGCGGGAATGTTATACGCGTAGTCAAGGTTAAATGAAATCATAGAACTTGATTCCTTGAGCATATTTGCAATCGTACTTAATCCGAGATTTGCAAGGCCACTTACGCTAGGATATGGTCTAATATTTACGTATCCTGGTATGTGAGGGCGGTGTATGGAAGGAGGCAAAATCTGCCACTGCTGGCAGTGATCTGTCTCTCAGGAGAACTACACAGAAACATATACTTGAGAAAATACATATTAACTTGAAGTCATTTTATCATACCCTGATTTTAGTCAGCCCAAAAACTCATTGAAAGGGGGTCAAATATACGGTGAGGGAAAATCATTTGACTTTAGATGGTGGGCGTACAATGCAATATGAAGGTCATGTGTAATAAAAATTTACACTTGAACCCTATATAATCTTATCAACCAATATCACCCCAATACATTTAATAAAAATTTCACTTAGAAATTAGGAGTTTAGAAGACATCCCTCTATGGAACCAATGTTGAAAATGGCATTACCTTCCTATAACAGCTCTCACAAAAGCCTTTGTAAGCCATCGTGTTACTGAACTATGGTGCAAACGCAAGGGGGCCATGGAATCTAACAGTTTCAAATTTAAACCACATTTCTAAAATGGTGTGTTCTCAAGTAGCAGGCCACATGGTCGACTCTCTGCAAACCCTCATGCTCACACTCCCGATGTCCTGTGAGCTGGCCTCCTGGTGGAAGAATAAGGGAGGGACTCTGTACAGCAGGTTAGGGTTTCTGGCCCCCCGGGCTCTAGCACTAGCAAAGGCTGATGGGTTGAGCAGATGTGAGGCATGGGCAAAGGAATTAGGAGAGGCACAAGGGTAAGAAACTTCTCCCACCTACGAGGAGAGGGCTCTGGCTTAGGCAGCCTTGGGGCAGTGGTTCCCCAGGGCAAAGAGGATGGTGTTTCCAGGCCTTGGTTCATAGAAGCGATGGCAGCTCCAGGGCAGCCTCTCTAGTGCCCAAAGTATCCGCAAGAGGAGAGAGGGGAGAGGTGAGGAAATGTTCAATGTCTATCAGTAGAAGACTCCCTAACTTAGACACAATAAATCTGTCTTAAAAAAGTGTATTGATTATATAAGCAGTATAGTACAATTTTTATTACAGCAACATGTCTATTTGTGAGTTCCTTAAAAAAATAAATTGACGACAAAATTGATTTTCACTGACTGCTTTAGGTAGACAACCAGCTTTCACTCTAAGTGTACTAAAAAATTAATGCCTCTAATAAACTTAGAAGCATTTAATACTGTGCTGTCTTTAAGGGTTCATAGAAGTAGAAGCGGTTACTATATTTTACACATACCATCGACTTTAAATAAAAAATTAAAATATAAAGTAAATTAGTCCTTTCGTTTTTAAAATATCAGATAATTAATTATTGAATTTATACTAAGTGCTCAACCTAAAAAACCAGTACCTGAGAGGTGGTGTAGCTAATTACATGCAGCACTTTCAGTGGAAGACATTTATCAAACGCATGTATAACGAAAACTTACCCTGTTTCTTCCATTATGCAGCCACCCCAGGACTCTGTGCAGTCACATTCTAGTCCAAGGACACCATTAAAGCAACAGAAGAAAAGAGAAACAACGGAAGTCACATCTTTCATTTTCATTACAGCTCTTAAATAATTTCTTATTACTAATTCCACGTCATAGCTACAGAGGGTGAAGTCTCACTGGACAAAATCGACTTCCTTTAAATCAATATTTCTTTATTCTTTGCAGAAGTGTAGGTTGCTTCCTTAGACAACAGCTGGCAAGAAATACTATTGTGCCTCTCCTCATTTCTGTAAGTCAGAGCTCAATCAAGAACAGGGTCGGAGACTGCCTGTCCAGGAGGCTTCTTCTCTGTGCTTCTAGCAGGACTAGCAGACGAGTTTAATGGAGGTAGGGAGGTGGGTAAGTTGTGTTTGATGTCCTCTTTGACTCTAGATCTAAGCTCCCTCCTCATACAATTGCACTCTCATTAAACTTGCGGAAGAGCCTCGCCGGCATCGTGTGTCCACACTCGGGTGATTGGAACCCAGACTGTGAGTGCTCCCACCCCACCACTGTGCAGTATGAGAAGGCTGGTCACACTCTGAGAAAGTATGACGTCAGGGATTTTGAAAAAAGGAACAACCCAAACATACTAAGAGTTACCTTAAGTTGCTCATCTTAGAATTTTTTTAGAGGAAAGAGAGATACTGCAATTAAACTACAATGACTTAGAAATGAAAAACTATGTTTTAGTATTTATTTTTAATTTTTTATTGTTGTTCAAGTACAGTCATCTCCATTTTCCCGCCACCACTTTCCCCTGCCCCTCCTATGTGTTCACTGGCTGGACATGCATCACACAGACAGAATGGCATGTGAAAGTGAGTAAGAAGGTCAGTGTACATACTTGGCTTTCTGCTAGAAGGTTCCCATTGGATTCCAAGGTTTTGAGCCAGGCTCTGCGATAATACTTGTGCCACTGCCATTGGAAGACCATACTGTTTTTCAGAGTTGAAAGTGTGTGGGAAACATTTGAGAGAGTGCACAAAGCTAGTTATTATTTCTTAATCATTACCTCCTCACATCTCAGTTCCCTCAGTAGAGCCTCATAGCATCAAAACGCAGTACATGCTCCTTCCTCATTTCTTCCTTACAACGGGGCCCAAGAAGCAGAAAGCCTCTGTTACCGTATGGCATCTTTCAGAACTGATGCTCTCACATGGAATCATAATACACAAGTCCTAAAAGGCTGTGCCCCCAACACAACTCATAGCAAACCAGGAACACATTCAACTTACTACGAGTATGGCAAGAGAGGTCTCCACTGAAGGATGGCTATAGGGATAACCTGGTGCATTCTGGTAGTGACCAGGGTTTGCAAATAGTTGGGTTTGGCTTTTTGAGTGTTGTTGCCAACTGTTCTAAGAATTTTCTTTATATAAACAAAGGTATTGAAATCTAAACAATGAGATTAAGGAAATAATTGTTCAATTAATTCTACAGTTAGGTAAGTAGAAGGCATAAAGGTAAAAAAATTTACATAGGGAGAAAACACAGATACTGACTAGATACTATCACAAACTCTTTGATAGAAATGAGTTAAACCTAATGTGGGCAAAGGAGCATTATAACTTTCAAAAAATGTGATAAGGGAAAGATTAATAAGCTTGTACAAATTTATCCATAGACGCCAAAGAATTCTCTTTGGCTTCCATTTGCCCGATACATATGAAAACTATTCTTATGAAATGAAACAATACCTCTTTTCTAACAACAGAGACCAGTTTGGGTTCTATTTACCATTTATTATAAAGCACTCATATTATATTCTTGATGTCATTATCACTCTAAACAAGTCTGAGAAAGGATGTAAGCTGGACCACGGAGGGGGTGGGGGGAGGGATCAGATCAGGTGCAAAGACGAAGCTCTACTTTAAGAAAATGAACAAAATTTACCTCATTCACACCAACTCCCCTTGTGCGAGAGCAGACACCTCCAAAGTAACTCAGACTGCTTCTCTTATAGTGGAATGTCACGCGCCTTAAGGAAAAAAAATCAGCATTAGGAAACCAATGTAGCGACCATCACATACGGTCTCCTAAGACATGTCCAATCCCTTACACTGAATACCCAAAACCATTCCCCTTCAAAAAAATCAAAAATTGCATTTCAAATACATTTAAATTTATGTTGTCCTAAAAACCTTTACATTTGCATTATGTTAATAATCTCAGCTGGGTGAATATTAATTGAGCCCCTACAAAGCATCACGTATTGGCTCAGGAATTGAGGACACAACTTGTGACTTTTTTCTACTAGAGAAGATCTGGTAGTTATACAAAATATTGCTGATTATTATACAATGTTGACTGAAGACTGAAAGTAAAGAAAGGAAATAGTACAGGTGAGAGGAAAGGGAGGAACCTTTGACTGGTTTGAGTCCAGCAAGAACCTTAGAGAACTATCTGAAAACAGCTTCACTGTCAGTGGGGAAGGGAACACGTATTACACACAAGAAAACATGGTACCTCTTTTCCTTAGTGATAGAAGTTCAATTTTAGTCAGTAAATCACCTCAAAGGTCTATATTTCCTAGCCTCTCTCGCAGCTCAATGTGGCCACATGAGTAAGATTTAGCAAATGATTTCTTCGTGAAATTGATGTGTGCAAGCTTTCGGGCTCTAACTCGGCTGGAAGGCATGCCCCCTTGCCGTCCTCCTGGACTGTCATTCCTGCTTCCTGTAATGAAGGCTGGAGCACCAGCAGCCACCCTGAATCCCGAGCTGACCTTGTGGATGGAAGGTCTGAAGGTAGGAGGTTTTCTAAAAGTGGGTCTAACCACGGCAGAACCACCCTCCCAGCACCACACAGCCAACCTCCATGCTTCTCACATCACAGAGGAATCAACATTACCCTTGCTCAAAACCGATGCATTGACCCAGAACTTCACTGATAAAGTAAAGGGATACAGATAAATGTGAAGCCAAAGACTACAGGTACATACGAGATGAGATGCACAGCATCAGCATGTTGCTTGATACGCTGCCGGTATTTGGAGAATTCATGAAGCATCTGCACAGGGTTGGTGGTGATGTCGATGTGATCCTTCTCAGTCCAGGTCTCTACAGCCACCAGGACAACCCTGGTATTGAGCTGTTCCTTGTAAATCTGGGGGTGTAAAACAGGACAGGTGCAGGAGGAAAACGCTGGGTCAAACATGCACAGTCAGTGATTCAGAGTCAGCGGAGAGACGGGAGGGGAGGTGAGAGGGGAACACGAAGTCATCATTAGCTCATCAGAGAGAATCTTCTTTTCCTTTCTCACTTCCAAGAGTGAAAATAAAGACAGAATGAACAATCCCACAATCAGCCTCTCCTACAAGGTTATGTCAATCTCAAATTAGCACATGTGATGGCCAGGCATCTCACTTCAGGAGAGAACGTAGGGACGTCAGGATTCTAAAGTCTGGACATAAACTGAAAACAGACTTTAGAAAGGACACCCTCTCCAACCTCAGAGGAGGTAACAAGTTGAAGCCAAATATACCAGCTCTGGGTGGTGCATTATGGCCAGTAACTCCTGCAGGATTGGAACGGATCACTAAGTCCTTGGACAAACACCAACACCGTGGCTGGCTTGCCCTTGGAAGCTTTGTTACACAGAAAGTAAAATAACACCAGGAGAGAACCACAGGTCTGAAGCCAAAAGAGAAAAGAACAGATTTGTATCACCAGTTCACCTTCACCACAGGGTGGCATCACTCACAGCATTTCAATTGTGTCTTTCCGCTCTCTTCCTCTACTTTTGGCCCGGTAGCTAAATAATTCACATAATTAAGCAATTTCAATGAATGTTGTCATTTTGTCCTCTTTTCAAGCTAATTAAGAAAATAATGGATGACCTTTGAACACGCTGAAGAAAGGGAATATCAGCATGCCTAAATCAATGAAGCGAAAATGATTTTTACAAGAAGCAAGTTAAATGTAATGTCTTTTAAAAATCAATTGTTCAGCTTCAGAACCTTGTATGGTAACGCAAAATAAAAATTACACTTTTCAAGATGTAATTCTGTTCAATCATGCTGAAATGACTAACACAGGGATGCTGCCAAGTAAACAGCTTTGGCAGGGGGAAAGGTGTGTTTAATATTCTCATTTCCATATTCACTTATAATTTTCCTCTCAGAAGACTGACAGGAGCTAAAATTAAAGAAAACCAGGTATAAATTGGCTTTCAGAATTTCAATCCTAACTCCATACGACACTCTATGCCCATCCAGCTGTGCCTACCAAGCATTGTATGAGTCTTTATATGATTGGAGGTTTTGAACTGCTCGAAAGGCAGAAAAGAAGGCAGTTCTTTGGAGAAAATAAGTATCATTTAAGTATTTAGCAATTTATAAAAGGTTTTTATTCACTAGTTAAGAAGAAACATACAATAAATATCAGATAAAAATATATTTAGCTGAACAAAATAGCACTTTATGTTAGAATAGACAAGGTACAATGCTATATTTAATTTATGACTAGCCTAATGAACAAGTTATTGGCACATAATGAATAATATTCACATCTATGGATTTCCTCCCTAAAACAGGAAAAATCAAGAAAATCTTAACCATCATTCCCTGTAAATCACAAAATAAGGCAAAAATTATCAGTAGAAAGGATTTTTAGAGTTAGAGGTCTTTGTAAGGAGATAAGCATTTTGCTGCTTTGAATTAGTTTTATTTGGGGACTCACTTAATTCTGTCACCTGGAAATGAAGTCTGAAGCATTCTTCCAAGAAGAACAGTAAGAAGATAAATTTGGGGTTAAATTTTTTTTGTATTTCCTATACCCTTCAAACATAATCTACCTCAATGTATTAGTTCTTCTGCCATATATTTAAGCCAATAAGTTCAACTGATTTAACAAAGTCTCCTTTGTCCAATTTAATTTACACTCTTCTTGGTAGCTAATTTTCTCCAGTGTTTTTGCCCTCCTTGGGCGCTGGAGGGTCAGACATCCCTCAGAAGCAACTCGAATGTGTTTTTGGAGTTCTGTGAATAACTGGACAGTCCCCCGACACTCTGGTGACACTACTCTTTGTGACACAGGCCACTGCATAATCCCTTAGCCAGATGAGTTTAAAGGTGGCATTTTTACTTTTTCCCAGGAAAGAACTAAAGTAAGCACATAGAAATATAAACCGTTCCATCTTGAGAAAATAGATTTGAGAAACCTGGATACTTACAGAGTCCACGAGGTTGACCACAGATTTTGCAAAGTTGTTGGTATGTGCGTGAGAAGAGCGATACTTCTTGTACTGGGGAGGAAAAAAGAGGTATCAGCCACTGCCAAATCATAATGGTAAATCTCAAAATTCGGCAAAAGCAGAAACCCCATAGCAACAGTAGAAATTGGGGATTAAATATACAGGACTTAGTGTACGCCATGTTGGATACGGTGGTGTTCTCATATTATTTCTGTGTTGGGCAGCAAAATGCTGACAATCTAAAACACCCACAACATTCCAGGTAACAGAGAGGGCCTACAGAAATCCGTAATGAGGAGCCTCACTCCACAGAAGTAAGTTTATTTCTGTCTCCAGGTCTATAAATGCAATCCTTTTACTGTCAATGAAACAAACTTCCCAGCTTATAAGGGCCGACACCAGGACGTTTAGTTCCCACTGGACACCTTCCTCACTTTAAACTCAAGGCCACACACACATCAAGAAAATCGCTTAGGCAGCACGTTAAATACGGTCCATGACATGGAATGTATTTGCCATACATTCCAGTACATTCTTTCAGAAGAATGCCTCCTCCAAAGGAAGACTTTTGCTTTTGACTGTTCAAAGTTAGAAGAAAGAAGAGACATAAAGTAAAAGTGAAATGTGCCCATAGTTCATGATTATTTAAGAAAATAAGGAAAAATAAATCAATGGAATAGTTAGGAAGCAACAGCGGAAGGGCTACCGTTTTAGCTAGGCGCGCGGTGCTGACTCTATCTTTGAGAGGACATTTGACAACCGAAGTCTACCACAGGGCTTGTGCCCGCTACTGAGTAAAAAGTAAAACATTCCCAAACTGCCAAATCGGACTTGCACCTTACATTTTTACAATGTGTCTTCAATTATGACTATTAAAACAATGCATCTTTCATAAAGATTCAAAATATCTCTACATTAAAAATCATGATATTCTTTGTTTCTCCCTTTCCACTTTCACACTATAAATTTATCACACTCTCCCCATTTCATTCTCTCTCTAACCCCCTGACTATGTTTTTTAAACAAAGACTATATCTTAATGCTTACTTATCTGATATTTATTTTTGATAATACTGAGCACACTTTCTCAGCCCATGATAAATGTCCAACAAATGAATAGTGTTATTAGTAGCACTCACTAATTATAACTAGTTATACTTATAGCATTTGCTATGGTACAAACGTTTGTATCTGCCCCCAAATTCATGTGTTGAAATCCTAACCCTCTAAATGTTCGTATCAGGAGGTGAGGCCTTTGTGGGGTGCTTAGGCAAGGAGGGTGGAACCCTCGTGAATTACTGTTCATATAAAAGAGGCTGCACAGAGATCCCTAGCCTCTTCCACCATGGGAGGACACAGAAGGACATTTTAACTGTCTTTTTTTAACTGAGAATAAAGAAGTTGCTATAAATAGTGCAGCATTTTATGTTGCCTATCTTTAAAAGTAAATGTGAAAGTCTCTCTGGGGTGATGAAAATGTTTTGGAACTAGGGAGAGACAATAGTTTACCACATAGTAAAGGTACCAAATACCACTGACTTATACACTTAAAAAAAGTCTTGACATTAAGAAGCACACATCACAAATAGTGTGTAAACAGATAGGAAGGGTACCAGTTGACACTTTCTTTGTGCAGTGGTGTTATACATCTATTAAAATAAATTGATTTTCCTTCTGAATATTAATTGGCCTTTTTTGGAAACCTCTTTCTATAGTATAATGGGCAGGAAAAATATGACATGCAAGTTTCAAAAACTGAGGTCTTTTGAAAGCCTATCAAAATGTGATGAGATTTTCACTTATTCATGTTTGTAATTTCCAAGTCTCTGATCTTCTTTAAGGAAGATTCCTCTGCCCGTTGTGAGGTGAGTGAATTAGAGAGATTCAGAAATGGAAACAGAGACCTGTTGGGGAATTACTACAGTAGTCCAGGTAAAAAATAACAAAGGTTGGACATCTGTATGGGCTGTGGAAGGTGAGAAAAGAGAAGAATGAAAGAAGTCTCCCAGGCTTTGAGCTTGAATCGCTGGAGGAGTGGTGGTGCCATCTAAAATACAATCATGAGAAGGACTAGGGGGGAAGAAGTTTAGGGCCCAGGAACCAAGAGTTCTGATTTGGAAATGTCCAGTGGGAGATGCCTATTTAATATGCAAGTATGCATGTCAAATAAGCGGTTGAATATGGAACTATGGAACTCAGGGGGCTAGAAGCAGGCAGAGTGATGAATCTGAAGCCATGTTATTACTTGAAGGCTTCAGCCTGGAAGGGATCACTCTGGAGGTGAGTGACAGAAAGAAAAGAAAGCCCCAAGCCAGGCTTCAGGGCACTCCTGAAATTCTGGAATTCAGATGTGAAAGACTAAGAAATGGCCAGTGAGGTGGGAGAGCTATTGTGTCACAGAAGCTGAGGGACGAAAAAAATGTTTCAAACAGGAGAGAATAATCAACTGTGTCCAATGTGGCCGAATGAGTAGGCGAGTAAGATAAGGATGAACAGAGACCCCTAGCTTTGTTCACTTGAACTTCCATTTAATTGAGCACCTAGGATTCACTAGGATCTACGGTAAGTCCCCTACAAGAAATACTTGTTCCATACAACTCTATGAGGTAGGTTTTATTATCCCCATTTTATAAATGTGGAAAGTGAGGCTCAGAGAAGACAAATAAAAATAGTTGGAATTCAATGTCCACTCTGAGTTGAGATAGGAGATAAACTCATTCAGTTAACAATTCTTATAAAAGAGCTTATGTATATTCCTACTCATGATTATTAATGAGAGAGAACTCAATCTGGTAGGTACCTATAAATTAGGGGTTTTTAGTATGCTGAACATCTGAAACTAATAGAGAATAATATTGAATGTAAACTATAATTGAAAAATAAAAATAAATAACAGTGGTTTTAAAATAAGAAAAACCAAATGAGGTTTAAATTGAAAAATATTTGAGCTACTACATTTTCATTTGCTGACTTACACATAAGAATTCAGCAAAAATGTAAGCAAAACATTTGTATTTCATGCACTTTAAAACATTTCCATCATTTCTCTATTAGAATAAGGTTTTTAATATTTATATTTAGATTAATGGCTCAAAGAAATATTTGCAGACCCTTTTCAAGGCTATAATTGGCTCACAAATTAGGCTCCACCAGCCAGCTACTAAAATGCTTTCTACAAAATTAAGGGATTGTGTGTGTGTGTGCCTAATGAAATCCACTGATGATATGATGCTTGTTCAAAATAAGGTATCTGCATTTTCTCCAGAAGGCCAATATGAGGTTACTCTGAATTAAAGAGGTAAGCTTGAATGTAAATGCAGGGAAACATTTCTATTTCCTGCCTGAATGAGAACTAATTGTGTATACAAAGAAAAATGTCCAATCTCCATTTATGATAAAACTTACTTTCACATGTTCTGAATACTGAAAATAATTTACATTTAAAGTGCCAAATTTGCCTTTTCTTCCTAAACAAATACAATCTTTAAGAAATTTGTTTTCTGAAAAAAATAAGATAAAATTAGAGCTTGATTTTCAATCCAAGGATAACAGTTATCAAAATAACTATGCTGCCTCATCTAGCACAAAGATTGTAAGATGAATACTCTAAGTAGGATGATTATTTTAAAACCCAACGGCAAATCTCTTGATACTGAAAAACAGATGTAAATTATTCTAGTTTAGTTTTTTAAATCAAGACTTTTTTTCCCCCAAAGCGCCAGGAGTTAAACATTTCCCAGCATGCCAAAAGTATTGAATATACTAACAAATAACCTACCAACCAAAACTCTTTAGAATGCTCTAGGCTTCAGTCAAGATATTTTATAAGAGAAATGGTTAAGTGGAACATAGTTAAGAAGGTTTCTTACTTTATCTTAAGGAGAAGCCAATGGAGGGGGCAATAACTATTTTTCATACATTGTTTAAGTGTTACTGAAATGACACATTGAATCACATTTTACTCTGACAAAAGTAACAAAAGAGTATTCATCTTTCCAATATTTTAATCGTCAGTTAAAGATGGTCTCTTTGGCCATACCTTTACTAAAATACATATGCTTATTTCCTATAATTATATCTGCCACAAATCATAATAATTAGTAAGGAAAATAACATGCTAGCAAAGGAAAGACATGAAATGAAATTAGAAAGCAGTGACCAAATACACAGGTGGAGGAAAGCAGAGAGTAGGAATTTTACACGAAGACAAGTGAAAGTGACCACACAAAGTTAACGTGAAAGGGGGTGGGCAGGGCAGGGGAGAGTGCGGGGTGGGGGGAAATGGGGACAACTGTAATTGAACAACAATAAAAATATATTTTTAAAGATTTTATGTATTTATTTTTAGAGAGGGAAGGGAGGGAGAAAGAGAGAGAGAGAAACATCAATATGTCGTTGCTGGGGGCTGTGGCCTGCAGCCCAGGCATGTGTCCTGACTGGGAATCAAACCTGTGATGCTTTGGTTCACAGCCCGCACTCAATCCACTGAGCTGTGCCAGCCAGGGCACAATAAAAATATTTTTAAAAATAAATAACAATTTCATTTAAAAAACAATGTTAAATCCACCAATTACAATCATTATTAAATAGAGGGAAAGTTTAGAGTCCTGAAATTTCTATACAATTCAGTGTTCCAAGACACCATAAAATAAATGAAGTCATTTAATACTACCAAAAAATAAAGTATCTAAGTTTCTTGGCTTTAATAAGTAATAAATGATAACCAAATAAAAAATGAAGTGTATTCTTTCTCAAGTAAGCTGTTGGGTCCACAACACATTGATTCTATACTCTTACCATTTTGTGATCATTAACAATCATAAGTTCCAAATATTTCATTTCTTCAAACACACCACGAGATGGCTGTAGAAAATAAAAATACATGGTCAGAGGGAATGGCACCATCTCTGATGAGGACTGGTCAATTATAGATGGACTTTGAATTTCAGAAGAACTCTTTGCTGCCTGTTTAATAAACACCCTGGAAGAAACCTGCTCGGAGAAATAGAAAAAAGAGACCATAATGTGTGAACAAACATTCAAGTATTCAGAAAAGAACTATATTTAAGTGTTATTAAAGTACTCATCAAGATAGAGAACCACCTATGTTGATTTTATATGATTTTTACATATAAAAATATTCCAGTGAAAAAGGTACAGCATAATTCTGTTAAAACAAATAATCTCATTTTCTTTGGCTCTGAGATGTGATAAAATATTCATCTCTATTTAAAACTTCAAGGAAAACCTATGTAAAACACATTTAACAGGAATAGCAGAGTACATCTAAAAAAGTACCAACTGTAGTAAAATAGAAATTTTAACTCAATGGAGTGAAATCTTAATAATAGTATACTAATTCTTCAACACATGACTTCTCCCGGGAATAAACATTAACAATGACAATATTCTAAGTTCTTCCAAGTTTATATTATTATTAGATAATCTGTAAGAGCAAGGGCTAAGTATCTTAGCCATTATTTGGACTTCTATTTCTTTTTCGTAATTAGAAGACTGCAAGATCAGTTTATATTTCATAGGGGTGGGCTTTAGTAAAATGTCATTAGCTTAGATACAACTTATTACCAACTACAGAACTAAAGAGTAACTAAAGATATCTCTTTCAAGAGGAACTAAAAAGAGATCTCTAATTTAAAAAAGAACAAGAAAAAGAAACGTGTATCAATTATCACCGTCATACAAAGACAGGGTCATAAAAGCAGGAAGATTTGACCTGCAACTAAGTTTTTCATGACTAGAGGTCTAATTTTTTCAGAAAAATACATTCACCAAAACATTATCTAAAATGTGCAATTTCCAGTATAATTACTCATTAAGTTATCTAGCAAATTACCATGTAATCTATATGCTATGGAATTAATTCTCAGTTACATAGTATTCACCATGTAATTATTAGACAGTCCCTGTCATCACGGCTTTCTAATCTATTATGAAAAAGACTAGCAACATAATTTCAGTTACAAAGCCCCTATACTTTTATCAATATATGGGAGCCAAAAGACAATTGCTGATTACATAATTATATGATTCTTATTTAGTAACTATTATGATACTAACGGTCAAATAGATTCATTCTGTTCAGAAAAATACATGCAGCTTCAAAGTTTGGTATAACAGAGGTTTTCATTAAAAAGAAATAAAAAAGTGTGATTAGTCAATGTCTAAAAACCTAATTCTCCTATTTCTCTTGTTAACAGAAATGTTTTATATGATGTTCTATAAGACATATTTTTACTTTTATAACTTTTTCTGGTATAGAGTCTAGATAGAGAGGAAGGAAGGGAGAAAGGGAGAGAGAGAAACATCTGTGTGAGAAAGGGACACTCATCAGTTGCCCCGTGCACACACTAAGAACAGCAGACCAAACCCACACCCCAGGCGTGTATCCCAACTGGTGATCGAACTGGCACCCTTTCAGGTGGTGGGAGAACCCAGCCCACTGAGCCACACCAGCCAGGGCAAGCCATATTTTTCAAAATTCTGCTATATTTTCCATAGAAAAAAATGTACTGCAATTTTCATAAAAAAACACTTTGAAAATAGAGCTAAACCAATACATTCCTTCTACGACATCAGGGTTCAGAGAACACCTTAATCCGTTTCTCATAGGGAAAGTTGAGCAAAAACTAATATGCCTATGAGACTCAAATTTTAGGGGTTTCTGGTTTGTTGTTCTTGTGTGTAAGAAGAAGTTGCCCACATTTTAATAATTTTAGGTGCACTTAGGCACTGTGTGATGACCAGCAACAACTTAACGGCGGAGTGAAATGGCCCCACCTGTGGCTCAAGTTCACACTCACATTCACTGCTCTCTTCCTTCTCCTTTTCAACCACTGTAACTCAGATAGGAAGGGCCACTCGTGACTGCTTTCCGTACCTGAGGAGAGGAAGAAGGCATACCAAAATGTATGTTCGGCTGCATTTCAATGGGAGTATGTTTTTCAAATATTACATGAAGGAATATTACATTTCTGGGTAAAGAAATATTTTATCTTCTGGATAAAATATTTCATCTCAAGTCAAAATTAAGGTGAAAAATGAACACTGATCATTAAACATTTCACATTCTCATAGTCACACATATAATTCAATTTGTAATTCATAAATTATAATGTAATTCAAATATAATCTTCTTCCAAACATCATCAAAAACATGAGTCATTCAAGACTCATCAGAATATGTATATTTCACCTACAATCACCTGACCTTCAATATCTGAAAATTCAAGAGAATTCTACTATGCTTACTTCATTTTAGAATTAAAAATAACGTATGCCATAAGCTTTTACATATATTATTAAAGACTTTTTTTGCATCGATATACAAAAGCAGTAACAGCACATATAGCAATATCCAAAGGAAAGCTTCTGCCAGTCAGCATGCTTGAGATGTCTCAGGACCAGAGCATATGAGAGAGAGTACAAGGTGGCTGCAGAGCAGTAAATCTGCCCACACTCTGGTTCCTCACGCACCTTTTTATTCCTGACTGCACATTTCAGTCTCTCCATCCGAAACAACTATCCATACCTCATCACACGCGAAAGCTGCCGTTCACGCCACCGCCCATCCACACTGTTCACTCCAGATCTCAAGTCAATTCTGCTTCCCACAAGCCTGCATGTCTACCAAGTTCCACCAAATCATAGCTCCTATTACATAAAATAGAATGGCTATTTGAATTAAAACTTACTGAGATTCTTCATTTGTTTAGAATATTGTCCTGCCAAGGCTTTCTGGATTATATGTGGTCGACCTGTGCTTTTCTGAAACAAAAAACAATTGTAGACAATTGAAAAGCAAGATGTAATTATGCCTCTATGGAACAGTGTTAGAACTTTCTCTAATATCTTTCCTAAAATGGGAACATTTATATGCTAATGTTTTAGCTATCAAAAATGAAAAGTGCATGTTTTATTGAAATTTCAACTTTAAATAAATAGAGCATCATCCAATTGTTTCAATTTAGATAAAAGCAACAGTCTTATTAGCTACTCTTAAGCCTTAGCTTTCTCCAAAGCCACAAATAGGGAATTCACAGGAAAAAAACACAAATGGTCGATACATATTTAAAAAATGATGAATACTTTAATATTCTTTCAAAGTAAAAAGTGGAAATATACGAATTTGTGCCTTCAAGTTGGCAAAGGTTTAAAAATTGATAACCAAAGTTAATTAAAAAGAGGTGAAAAGTACTCTTATACACTGCCGGCAGGAGAAAATTGGTAGCATAGTTCAAAGAGAAATTTAGCAGTTCTATTAACAGCCCTGAAAACATCAATACCCTTTGCCCTAGAAATTACACTTCTAGAAATGTCTGATTTCCATTACTATTATTACTATTAGCTCCCATTACTGACTGCATCGTATGTGCCAGGCACTCTTAATGAACACATTATGCAACTTAATCCTCACAAGAACTCCATACGGTGCATATTTCATCCCCATTTTACAAATAAAAATATAGGAGCTCAGAGAGATACATTACTGAAATTACATTACAAACTAATGATCCAATTTATTTTTAAATATATAGGAACATATCATCAGAAAACTGGAAGAACGCACACTGAAAATTGAAGAGAAGTTATTTCTGGGGGATGGGATGATGTGTAACTACTCTTTAGTTAAGTTTATGTTTATTTTGCTTTTCCAAATTTCTTAGAATATATCAGTTTTATAATCAGAAAAACAGTTTTAAGAAGAAGTGTTCTTAATAGATTACGTAGCCCTGGCCCCCTAGCTCAGTTGGTCAGAGCATCATCCGGATGTACCAAGGTGAGGGTTTGATCGCTGGTCAGAGCACATACCAGAATCAACCAATGAATGCATAAATAAGTGGAACAACAAATTGATGTTCCTCTCCCTCTCTTTCTTTTTCCTTACCTCTTGCTCTCTAAGATCAATAAATAAAAATTTTAAAAATAGGTTACATAAAAGACTTACAATAATTAAGAATTTTACTATTCATGTACTACTTAAGAGTAATGAATTCTCATTAGAAACTTCTCATCCTTATTACCTGACTTACTGTAAAGCACACTAAAAACAATAATAATAATAAACAAAATATCAAAAAAAATCTAAGTTCAAGTGCATTAAACTCTTAATTCTGTTAACAGGTGAAAGGTATCTAGAGTTATGAGACTCACAATTTTAAACTCGGACTAATTTAACATTTCAAGTCCTGTTCCTTTCCCTCTACTGGCAGTAAAGATGAGGACAAATTGTTCAATGAAGTGAAATAAACCAGACAGAGAAAGACAAATACCACATGATTTCACTTAGATGTGGAAAGTAAAAAAAAAAAAACAATACAAAATAAACAAACAAACAAAACAGAAACAGACTCATAGACATGGAGAAGAGACTGATCATCGCCAGACTGGAGAGGGGCTGGGAAGATGGGTAAAAAAGGTGAAGGGATTAAGGAGCACAAATTGGTAGTTACAGAATAGTTACGGGAAGTACAGCACAGGGAACAACGTCAATAATATTACAGTGACTATATATGTGGTGCCAGGCAGGCACTGAACTTATCAAGGGCACCAATCCTAAGTTATAGAAATGTCTATGCACCTGCAAGTAATACAATGTTGAATGCCAACCATAACTGAAAAAATAATAAAAGTTGAAAAATAAAAGGAAGACAGTAAGAAAGAAGATAAAAAAGAAAAGGCATTAAGCATGAAGCAATCCACTCCGGAAGAATATGATCATGGGTATAACAATGCAAAACCACTACTTTCAACCCTAGGATAATAGCAGCCTATATTTATAAATCTCTTCAACAGTTTATTAGACCCAGTCACATACATTTATTAATTCATTAAAGCTAGAAAATCACCCTATTAGGGATGTAATGAAAAATTACCTCATTTTACATAGTTAAATACTCTAAGGCTTAAGGAGCTGTTACTTTTTATTTCATTTTGTTCTTTAAATTTTACTTTATTTTGTTCTTTAGGGTAACAGGGCTATTAATTCATGCCAGAAATCAAAGTAAATTTTTAGCTGAGTGAGTCAAATACTTTTGCTCTATATCTACCACTGGAGTACGGGAAAAACATTTTACTTAATCAAAATGTCTTTATCTAGGTGGGGTTGTCTCATTACCTGTTAATTTTTATATTTACTAGCTAAAAAATGATACAGGATTACTCAAACATTTACCATTTAAAATTTAATGACGTTTCTGTCTCAAGTTTGAAATTGACCTCATATTCAAGCATATATTGCCACAATAAAGTAAATGTTTGTTCAACTGTTATTATCAATAGCCTGCATGACCATTACCTGTTTCAAAATTTTATACCTACATTTGAAATCTCTAAAGATAAAAAAAAAAAACATTTTTTTGCTCCCTATCAAATGACTGCAATATTCTGACTCTATCACTTTCAGACTATCTTCCCAGTAGCCACTCTCCTCACTGACACAACTTCCCTACGTTATGTCCTGGTGCCTTCACCTCCTACCATCCATCCCCCCTTCCACCCTTTTCCAGCCCGGCTTCCTCCACGTTCCTACAAGGCTCTGGGAAGGTTCCTGCCTCAGGGCCTTTGCGTTGGCTCTTCTCCTGAATTGTTCTTCCAGCTGCCTAATTTCTTGAAGGACTTCATTCAAAACTACTCTCTCATCGTGCCCCTTCCCTGGATAGTTAATATGAAGGGTGAACTCCACCTGGCTGTACGTAATTACTCATTCATCCTGTGCATTCCTGTTGGCCCCTGCAGCCTGTGAGATCCATGAGGCTCGGGCTCTATGTCTGTTTTGTTCACCCTTTCATCCCCAGCACCTAGAATGGTACCCAGCATGTAGTGAACTCTCATGTCAGTATCCGATGAACACTGGTCAAATTTCAAATTTGGTTACATTCTATTAGTGAGCAACACCATCAGAGTGTACTGAGATGTAACGGATGTACAGCATAGTATATGTTTGTGTGCAACATGATTTGATATATATGCATGTTACAGAATGATCCCCACAATGAGTTCAGTGAATACCCATCACCTCACATGATACGGATTTTTTTCTTGTGATGAGAACTTTTAAGATCTACTTTCTTACCAACTTTCAAGTAGACAATACAATATTACAGTCCCAGAATTTCATTACCTTGTAACTGGAAGAATGTACCTTTTGATCAACTCCACCCATTTCAGTTCCCCCATTGGCTTCTGCTAACTGCTAATCTGTTTTCTATTTCTATGTATTAAACATTGTTTGAGATCCTACAAATAAGTGAGATCATATAGCATTTCTTTGTCTATCTGACTTACTTCACTTAGCATAACGCCCTCATCGTTTCTGGTCTAGGTAGCTGGCCTGTACATGATTCTTAACATTACTTTCGTCCCTACCGCTAAAGAAACTGAAATATTACATAAGCATAGTGCAGCCACAATTTCCCCACTGAGGGTTCTTAGACTCATAAAAGTTAATACATGCTTACAGTTGTACAATTATCTAAAGAAGTGGTGACAATAAAAGCTAGCTGAAAGAAAAAGAAGTTGGTCTGTACAAAATATAATGTCCTCTCTGCTCTTCCTATAGACTGGAAAGAACTTTCACTTCAGAAAACCTCATTCTGCTGCATCTTATCATCCGTTACCCGTAGCCTGGGATGTTCAATTTAAGCTTCAAAATTCATGGTGTTATTCTAAGTCTGAAATAGGTACAATACATAAAGGCACATTGAAATCTACATTATATTCTCTTCCTTGCTCAAAGGCAAAGATGTTGAAAGAATAGAACACTGTAAGGGAACTGATGTTACAGTCAGACTTACCTCATCATGAACCAGCTCCATTGGTTCGATCATGTACATGAAGGTATTGTCTTCAAACATTCCACTGCAACACAAGAAATCACGCAAGGAGAGAATGAATATTCAGAGCAAACAGCAAGGAATAGCAAGTGAGCTTCATATTGTGTCTTTAAATATAAAGAGTATGCATGAATAAATACCTTTGTATTGCCCCAAATCTAATTCACATGTCTGTATGGAATCCTGCTGTGGTCCCCACACTGTAGTCAGACAGAGTATAGTCTACCCAGGGTATAAAAAGTGTACACTGCCCCAGTTGGTGTGGCTCAGTGTATTAAGGTCAGGCCTGCAAACCACAGGGTCACCACCGCTTTAATTCCCAGCCAGGGCACATGCCTGGATTGCAGGCCAGGTCCCCAGTAGGGGGCATGCAGAGGCAACCACATTGATGTTCCTCTCCCTCTCTTTCTCCCTCCTTTCCCCCTCTCTAAAAATAAATTTAAAATATCTGTTTTTTTTAAGTATACACTAAGAGCAAACAAATTATACCTGATATAATTAATTTTTGAAATTAAATGGGCATATTAGAAGATTAATCTGGGATTGGACTATTTGTGCAGTTACAGTATTGTGAGTTATTATTCCAGAATAATGCACAACTAGCCCCAACCTCTTGTTATGCAAATTCAATATCATCTATTAGAAAAATGGGTTCTTCATGTATAACAATAATCTAAAATTATCTGACTCTGAAGAGGCAAACAGAAGCATCTTTACGCTTGCAAATTGTGAATTTCCATTAAGCAGTAATAACCATGCTGAAATCACATTTAATTTATAGAGATACAGGATATTTTATTACATGTAAAGGTAAGATTTTCAAGACCTTTTTTCCCCACATGAGTACAAATACATCTTTACACGGTGTGCTCTGGGTCTGGGTCTGCAGGTGCCCGCAGATGGTTTTTGAAGCCTGCCTCAAAGTCGATGCATAAGCTCCTCTCGTTCACACCCACTCTCACCTGGCTGACTCCTAGTTATCCTTAAGTCTAAACCAACTGATAAGTGCTCTGGCATCCACCTCTGGGAAACCTTGCTGGATCTAAGTTAGGTTACTCTATGTCCTCTCCCTTCACAGTACCTGCCAAAGAGGCAAATTCAGTATTAATCTGTGTAATCATTTGTTTCATCTCAGAATCTCCTGCAATCTCTAGGTGTTAAGAGAGCAGAGACTGTGCCCTTCCTGTTCATCACTCCAGATCCAGCCCCTAACATGGGACTGGCACGGAAGAGTCACTACAATACAGATCTGTGACAGATGAGATGGAAAGGATGGAGGGAGGGAGGCAAGTTCATTCTCCCAACGAGAGGCCCACGTACTGAAGTCCGTTGCAGGTCGACAGAGCCACCCTGGAGTCCTTGACACCTCGGATGCGTCCGTGGTAGTAACAGTGCTCTCCGCCCTACAACGCAGAAGAAGGCTGGCTTGAGAAATTATGCACCAGGATTCACTACTGGGACACTGCTGTGCAGCAGAAAGAACTGGGAGGATGGTCTTAGAAACTCCTCCTGGTTAATATGAAATTCCAAAGAGCACTAGGCAATTTTTCAACTTCCCTGTAATGAGCATGTGTGTATAAAATTTAATGAAGGATGAGAGGCTTTATGGAAATAAGACACCAACATGACTGGTACAACTTACACACCTTTCTTAAGCACGTAAGGGAGTAGATACTTAACAGACATTGTTTTGAAACACTCTTCTGCCTAAATGAGGAGAGACCACAATGTTGCTGCTTATAATCATTTGTTACAGAAAATTACATAAAATCTTATTATTTCCTTTCCTATTATTTAAAATTACTTCTTTTAAAAAAGTTTTGTTAGTAGCCCTGGCTGGCGTAGTTCAGGGGATTGGGTGTGGGCTGTGAACCAAAGTGTTGTAGGTTCGATTCCCAGTCAGGGTACATGCCTGGGTTGCAGGCCACGGCCCCCAGCAACCGCACATTGATGTTTCTCTCTCTCTCTCTCTCCCCCACCCCCTTCCCTCTCTAAAAATAAATAAATAAAATCTTAAAAAAAATTTGTTAGTAATATACAACTTAGTTTTCAAAGTCAAATAATAACTACAAAGCCTATGTTTTAAAATATAACAAATCCTTTCTCCCTCTCTTCCCACCTCCACAGCAACCATTTTTAACTCCTAACTGCTTCTGTCATTTACCTATGTATTTCTGAATGGAATATTCATACTTTTACATCCTGATTTCTGGCACTTTATAAATTATCTTCCTAATAAAGAATCTTCACACCCCTTTTTGCCCCCCAATACATTCCAATACACATCATCAATTTGACTTACATTAATATTTAATGTTTACATTACAACTATGCAAAGATTGTGCATAGCTGTGCCACCATGAGTACATTTTCTTTCTTGCTCCATTTTAATGTTTTGAGAAGTTTTGCTTCATCTTCTTGTTTGCTGATTTTCCCATGTATTTATTTAATAGCCCCATTATCTAAAATATTATCTACAACTCTTCTCCTACGGCCAAACGCATCAGATAACTAACTTATCACATCCATTTTTTTTTCCAGGAGACACCCTTATGGTTTCCCTTCGGCCTCCAACGAGGCCTGATGCACACCCACCGACCAAAACTGCTCTGTAGCATCGCCCTGGGAACTCCCTCCACCCACCTTCTACTTTGATTCCTAGACCCCACCCATGTCTTCTCCATTCAGTCTCTCCCTCCTCTTTTCTGGAGGCACACATCCTCTGGTACTTGCTTGAAAAAATGTTCATGGGAGATCAATTTGGCGATAATGTGCACAAATGAACATTACTTTTCCTATCTTTCCACCTGAGTGATCATTTGGGTGGGTAGAGAATCCTAGATTGGAAAGTATTTTCTCTTGGCATTCTGATAGCATTTTGCATAGTCCTACAGCTTCTAATGTTGATGTCATGAATTGGATGTGATTCTAATGTTAGATATTTTCTATTAAATGTATTTTTCCCTTTCATGAAGACTTTAGGAAATTTAGTTTATCCCCATTTTTGTAAAATCCCAGGACACGTGTTGTTGTGGGTAGGTCTTTGCTTATTCATTGCACTGGGCACTCTGTTACACCTTTTAATCAAGAAAATGCATACACTCTAGCTCTGGGAAACTATTATTATTTCTCTGATAATTCCCTCCTTTCCATTTTTCTCTAAAAACTGAGCTTTTTCACCAGAGCACAGAAGATATGGTCGCCTGGCTACATAAGGTCTGGAGTAGAACAGGGATTTAACTGGGCTCCATGTAGACTTCCAATCAACCTTTCTGTTTGCACGTGCCTTCAATTTCTGAGCCTCTCTGGGTGAAGTGACGTGAGCTGGCTGGCTGCTTCTGGGTTTGCCCAGAAGAACGGAGCAGAGCAGGAAAAGCTCAAACCTCAGTCACTCCTCATCCATCTGCTCTCTGTCACCTACAGCTTCACGGACACCTCTCCTTCTGTTGTCTTTTCTCCCCTTGTCTTGTCCTTTTTTTTAATTTCTTAACCACTATTTGAGTGGGTTATGGAAGGGAACAGATGAATAGAAGCCTTGAATCCACATTGTTTAACCAGAAGCTTCCTATTTTGTTTTCTTAAATAGAGTGTATTGGACATACTTTGGCTTCTTATTGATGATTGACAGTCATCCTGATCACTGATTATTACACTGCATCACAATCGCCTCAGAGGCCATTCAAAGTAACTAATGGTGTCCACCCACATGCCGAACGACCACTTCCCAACCAACACAATTTGTTTCCTCTTAGTAAGTGTAATACAAATTTTCAATGTCGGTTGTCTAAATTCGGTATTATAACCTTGTTAATATTTTATAAAGGGTTGCTTTTAGGGTCTTGTAAAACAACCTTGTATATAAATATTGAGTTGTATATAATATGTCAAGTTCTGTTTGCACAATCAACTCTGGAACTTATAAGGACAAATGATATCACACAGTAATCTGAGGACCCAACTCAATGCCATGTAATTAGACTTCAGACTCTTCACATGGTTCTAAAAGCAGTCATAGGCAGCTGCAAATTCCATCAAGCTGGTTATGTAGGACTTGGTATCACACCAAAAGGCTGCCTTCAATCAGGTGGTTATTGCAAGTGCACAGCAAACACTGCCGTATTTACTTGACCTTTCTAAGAAAAACTGTACTTTTGCAGGTACTCCTAAAAATATTCGTTTTTCCCCAGAAAATATTTCCAAGTCCTTTCTTAGATTTAGTTTCATTCGCCAGCATTGGAAACTGAAGGCTGACGCTCGCTCTCTCAGTGTAAAGGTCGTTGCCATCTGTGTTAATTAAGGCAGGACACTACCCGGAGGGAACTGTTTTGGTTCCCCGTACATCCGAATGCAGAGCACCAGACTTTCTGGACCTCAAGTGAGACTTGCGGTAGCATCCAATCCTTGATGTTTATCATCATTAAAAAGTGTTCATCTCTAACTGTGTAGTTATATTAAGCGCTGTAAGTAATTTGGTGGGTTCTAATTCAGTATTAGTATTAGTAGTATTAGAGGATTTTCTGAGCTACTAATTATTAAATCTACAGCAAGTTTTTAAGAAAGCATTACCAGAAAAGTACTATTTAGCAACTCTCCAGATCTATGCGGCATTTTATAAACACCACTGAGAAGTAACATACTGAGGTGTTTCACATTAAATAAATCCCAACTGAAAAGAGGCATTCCCTCTTGGGTAAAAGGGATAACAATAGTGGACCAGAGCAAAGAGGCTTCTTCATTAACAGTGACACTGCGCAGCCAGCCCCAGGGGTGCCATCCACACAGAACCAGCCATTGTGAACACTCACTATCTTGCAGTGACTACTCTCTCCAGGTACAGATGGGGAGACAGTCACAAAGTGTTAAAAGGCTCTGCCAACGACAGCAAAAGCCGAAATGAAATCTCACATCTTCAGACTCTCAAACTGGTGTTTCTCCGGTCAGAAGGGCCCAGAGAGTTCGAGAGTGCTGGCCAGTGAATTTGAGATCACCAGCCAGGCCTGGGCCACGGATCTGTGACTGTGCACATGGCAGGCAGGGGGGCCAATGGGGACTCATCTGGTCGGTGCACAGCACCGGTCTGTGTGGGCCTCCAGGGGCACTTCGGGATTCAGAGCTGCCGGTCAGTTAATTAAATTGAACATGATGGAGCATCTGATAAGTGAAAGTTATTGACTAGACAAAGGAACTTATAAATGCTAGTGAGTATGCTCCCCAACTTTCTCAGCCTCCCACTTTCACAGAGCTGAACACCCCACAGGCAGGGGATGCTCCAGTAACTGCGACCTGGCTCCACGCGGCTGCCATGCGAAGAAGCCCACTGGAAACCACCAGCCCACTCCTGCGGGTAACAACACGCTGAAGCCACGTGCATCCGTTAAAACACTTTCTCATCAGAAGTGGCTAGGGATAGCAGTGGTGTGAGCCTAGTGATCACAATGCAGAGGGGAAAAGAGATTTGGTTCCCTGGTATTTATTGATCAACCGACAGCAGTGGTTTTTGATTCAACTTACTTTAAATACAACCCAATGGAAAACAGAACCCATTGGAAATAGAACCTATTATTTTAATTTACTTTAAAGTTGCTCCACCTTGTGTCTGTTCAATGATCTCATCTGTTTTCGTCAAGTTCTATCACCTGGTTCTTATCATCTTCATCACTTAAGGGACTCTCATAAACTTTGCTGTTCGCGGCGACCATCCTCCGATTTTTACAACTGACTCCTGAACCTGTGGATAAACGTTTGAAAAGAAACTACAATACATAGGACTTAGCTCACAATTGTGTGTATTTTGATATTCCTGGATGTATAGGAAAATATGACTATGTATTCACTATTCTCTATTCATATCTTTAAATACCTTAAACTTATCAACTAGTATCAATTTATTTAATAAATCAATGGTCTGGTAGCAAAAGAGAAAAACATGTCTGTAACTGGACACATATACCTTAATTTGAATACTGTAGAATAAGGAAATTTTAAAAATAATTTAGAGAATCAGAGAACTTGTGACCTCAACAACACCAGTTTAATTATTTACCTTTGTTAAACTCAATGGGGGAAAATGTGCAGATGTTAGAACAAGTTGGCTGCACCAATACTATATAAACTTTTAATAGTTCACATAAAATTATACTATTAAAACTTAAAATAGCTTTGTGAGAACAAATACTGTCTGCTCTCTTGACTTCATGGGGATTTTTTAAACTTCCGACCAGGAGCCACGCCCACCAAGGTGCATTCCCTCTGACAATAACCCCTGCCAAGAAGTCTTCTTGGAAGAAGGGAGCTTAAGCTGAGCCACAGAGATGACTCGATAAGGAAGGAGCACACACACACGGACGCTGTGGGGGCACCGCAGAGGGTGATGTGATTACAGCGATACAGAAAAGAACAAAGGCAGGGATTTTTATCTATCTGGCTCACTGATACATATCCAACACTTAGAACAGTGACTACCTCACAGCAAGCAGAATCAATACTATTTAATCAATGAGCAACAATGGCTTAGTCAGGAGCCTAAGTGGCAAGGCCTGCCTTAAAGGAACAGAGGATCCTTGTTTGTTGGGAAGGTGGGTAAATAAACCTCATTCCTCACCTGAGAATTTTTTTCCTTTCAGATATAACTGACAAACCATAAAATTCACTCTTTTAAAGAGTACAATTCAGTGGGTTTCAGTATATTCAGAGAGGTGTGAAGCCATCACCACTAATTCCAGAATATTCTGATTCCAGAATATCTTCATCACTGTACAAGGAAATCCTGTACCAGTAGTCATTCCCCATTCCTCCCTTCTACCAGCCTCCCCAAGCTCCTGGCACCCACTGATCTGCTTTTGGTCCCTGTGGATGTGCCTCTACTTGCCTATTTTGGACATTTCAAATAAGTGCAATTATATAATATGTGGTCCCTGATGATTGGCTCCTTTCACATGGCATGATGTCTACAAGATTGATCCAAGGTGTAGCACGAATCAGGACTTCATCCTTTTCTATGGCTGAATAATATTTATTTATGTGAATATACCACATGTAGTTTATTTATCTGTCAATGAATGAACATTTAGGCTGTTTCCAATGTTCTATTATAAATAATTCTGTTATATACATCCATGTACAAGTTTTTGCTTGGGCATATATTTCCAATTCACCTGGATATATATCTAAGTTTAGAATTGCTGAGTCATATGCTTAACATTTTCAGGAACTGCCAAACTATTTTCTAAAGCGGCTCTACCGTTTCACGTTCCTACCAGCAGTGTACAAGGATTCCAGTTCTCCATATTCTTGCCAATCTGTGTTTTATCCATCTTTTTTATTATAGCCATCCTAGACGGTGTGAAGTGGGACCCATTTAAATGTAAAACCAAATGAGAGAGTGATCAGAAAATATCACCTTCAGTTTTGATAGCACTATACTAGAGGAGAGGATTAACTGAGGATCCAATAGGCGTGCTAAGGCTACATCCCCGAGTTAGCCAGACTCGCCGACCCAGACCCAGACCAAGACATCATGAGATGACCAACCTTCACCCACCACCCCATGCACACACAGGCTACCACTTACAGCCAAGACTGTGGGAAAGTAGAGAGAATGTGCTCTTCCTGCAGGGAGGTGGATCTCACAAAATACAGAGAGGAAAGGACTACACAGACATGCCCAACCCCCTTCCCACCAGTTAGGGTGCTCTTCTGTCCTGGGTAGGAGCGAGCAAGGCAACAGGAAGAAGTCCAGGTGAGAAAACAGAGCTAGGAAAGGACAGACTCCCTATCCCAAAGTGATAAAGAAGAGTGAAGTAGAGGGAAGCAGGGCTGGGAGCACTGCATCTCTCTATTCAACCCTCCACTGCCGTGTGGGTGGCAGTTCTTTTTATAAGCAGAAGAGAAACCAAAGAATTAGCAAGCACTTAAAGTTAATGGTTCACCTAAAAGGGATTTAATAGAAATACATTAAATTTGAAAAGTACTTTTAAACTGTCATATAGGTGCCTCATTCTTTTATAAGATATGAAAGATTAAAAATTAACTTATTTTTAACAGGTTCATCAACAAAGTTAATCAGCAAATCAAGAAAGAGGTTACTGCATATCACATGCAAAGCATTTGTGCTAGAAGCTCTAACAATAGCTACTTCTCAGTCGGCTACAGAACAAAGGTCTTCCCTATGTGTGCACTGAGTACCTAGCAGGCAGGCTATTTACCTGCTTAAGTGGTTGCCCTCTCCAGCTCCTTTATTTATTTCACAAGGAAAGAAGAAGCCCTTGTAACCCACTTTCTTCCAATAAAAGTAAAACCTAAGACAAGAGCCTCTTCTCAGCTAGAAGTGGGAACTAGGTAGGAGCAAGGTAGTGATGAAGCAGGAAAACCTAGACAAGCTTCTTCAAAGTGTGGACTCAACATTTTGTTTGAAAATTATTCCCAGAATATTTTAAATGTTCACACTCACATTTAACATCAATGCCGAACAGGCTATTAGTGAGTCTGTTCCTCTCTGGTCATGTGAACACTAGTGCATGCGTGTGTGTGTTTGAGATATTTGGAAGAAAGTGTGCACAGAGCAGGCTTTTTTAACCTAGCCATTTTTAGACATTAATTTCTGGTACTCTGTACAGAGATTTTTCTCAACACAACATGGAATGCAATGTGTAGTTATAGTAGTGGAGTAGTGGAGTTAAAAATGTGTATGTAATAGCAGTGGAGATGTGAATTTACACAAACCTTCAGAAAGAAAAACTCAGTGTCTAACAAAAACCTTAAAACAATATGCCATTCTTGACCCACAAAATCCCGTGACCAGAATTCATCCTTAAGCAATTATCAAAGGTGTGTTCAAATGCATGTGGAAAGCCTTTCTCTAGAGTTCTTCCTATAGTGAAAAACTGGAAACAATCTGTTTATTGCTATGCAGCCTTCAAACAAATTATAGCAAATAAACAGGAAAAATTATATATTTTTTAAAATAAAAGTTTAGATTATTTAAAATACACTAAAATGTTTGTAATATTGTTAGGTTACAACATCCTGCTACAAGACACTGTCCACATTAACATCTCAGCTTTGGATAGTGTTATACACAGACACAGACAAAACAGACTGTTCCCATTAATTCCTTATACATAAAGCAAGTTTGGGCACAGGACCTGTTTGGAGAAAATGGGCTATAAATAGGAGAAGTGCAATGAACACAACAACAAACTGCAAGGGACATTTCTTTTGCCAGAGTTGAACCTTTTGTTTTAAATTTTAGTTTCAACTGACACAAGACTTGATGTGTCTTGTTATTTGATGTGTCTTGTTATTAATGCCCTCCTTTGGGCACCTCGAATGACCTCTGGAAGCAAATTAGCTATTCTGCTTCTAAAATTATATATATGTGTATATATATATATATATATACACACACTTCTTAGTGAGAAGTTTGGATCCAGTTACTGCGGCCTGCAAAGGTGGCTCGTTTGCTGAGTCTATAAAGTTCTCGCACAATCTCCTCTCCTCCAGACTCATGACTCAGCATCCGCAGTGCTCCCGGCACTGGCACAGGGACAGAAGCTGTGGCTTGTACCAATGCCAGGAAGCACCATTCCCATACTTGATTTAGCTTTTCTGCTCACTTTCCGCGGCATTAAATTTTAGGGAGATTCAAACCCCTCCCCACCCCCCACCATGCAGCCTAAGGCAAGAACAGACACCAGTGACAACAATATATGGAAGTTCTTAATCTGGTGCAGAAAATTCAAAGGTTTGGAACATATCAAATCACAGTTGTGCCCACCGTTAACTGGACAGTTACAAATCCTGAGTGATGCCATGTCCCCCATGTCCCCCAGGCAGTACTGACCATGAAATATTTGTCACGAGGCTGTCGGGCTGTTCCCCACTGTGGTTGGCTTCCCTCCCGTGCCTGGGATATCCATGGTCACAGCTTCAGCTCCACCACACTCTGTGGATTTCTCCTATAGAGTCTGCACGCAGCTATTCCAAGGACTTTTACCCTGACTGGTAGAGACCACTGTGTTCCTTACAGACAAATAATCTTCTTGCTTCAACCTAAACCCACTTGCTCCTTATAGATCCTCCCCAATGGGGACAAAAGTGAATCTCCAACTGAAGGAAATCAAGTGCCCAACCACCTTTATGTTCCAACGCTCGCTGGCAGGTTTATGTTGCCCTCCCTGTGCCTTCATTTCCTCCTTTGCACGACAGGAGTAATAACACCCACCTCACAGAACTGTTGTGAAGGTTGAGAGGGAAGGCACTCCCTAAATTTTCCTTCCCTCACCTTCCTGGGCACAGAAGTCACTCGGATCCAATACTCATCCTAATAACCCATCCGCTCTTATTATTCACTTTCTATGACCACAGCCTGGTAATCTACTAATTTAAGATGCTGATATGAAACTGTATAGCTTGTTCTCCCATTCACTTACATAAGTTACTGCATGTAAAACAAAACAATAAACATTTCTTTATTGACCTAAATACACAGAATCTGAAGTGTTATCTTAAACATTGAAAATTTTCATAAAGTTCTCCTAAATAGATTTTAAAATTAAAAATACAAAAATTTTGCACCATTGTATAAGAGGATAGGTGATTTTATTGAGATAGACATCAAAACAATGCAGTGTACACTGAACAGTTTATGGTTAAGTATATTTATACTGCAGGATTTCCATACACTGTCAACCATACCTTAGAGTACTGTGGCTTCCCGTTTTCATAGTGAATCTCCACATAATCCGAAGACAGCAAATCACTACAAAGGAAAGAAAATAGAGTGATTTCTGCATCTAAGATACTTGGAGGTTTAAAAATGATCAGTTCAATAAATGAGTGTGAGGGGCATATGCACCACAAATAGCTACAGTCCCAAGTGAAAGAAAGTTTCATCAAGTTTTAGATGTTATCCAGCAGCAACTCATGCCTCAGTCTGTTCAAAAACACAAGACATCGGTAACTGAAGGGTGCATGTCTTTATGCCCACTATTCACCACTTGATGGATATGTCAATTAACACAGAACAAACAAAAAAGGCAGGTTAGCAGGAGGAGATAGGCCCTATAAAATCCCACTATAATGATCTAAATAATTAGAATCTCATAAAACACAATCACCAAGAAAGAGTACAGAATAAAGGCCAGCCCCCCAGCACGACTACTCGACCCCACTGTTGTGTCACAGACCAGCCACAGGCAACACAGAAACACAAGCGAGCTGCGATGTTTCAGGAAGATTTCACTTATGGCCACTGAAATTTGAATTTCACATAATTTCACACATCATGCAAGAGTATTTTTCTTTGTTTTTGTTCAGCTAGGTAAAAATGTAAAAAACAACATTCTTAGCTCAAGGACTACACAAAAACAGGTACGGCGGGACTTGGCCCAAGGACGATAATTTGCCAACTGCTGAAATAAAATATCAGTTAAGTATGTAGCTTTTGGTGTCAGACAAAGTAGGATTCAGAGCCTACCCAGCCCCTCAACAGTGGTGAGACCATGGGCAGGTCACCTGACTCAGCCTTCCTGCGAGTCAAATGGAAACCAGAAAGAGTGTGAAGATTAAATGACAACACGTGCGCAGTGCTTAGCCTGAACTCAGCACAGAGCGCATGCGCAGTGACGGCACTGAAGCTGTCCCTCTTGATTTTTACTCAACTTCTTCACATACATTCCTCCCTGCAGAATGTGGGGCATACAAAATATGGGTGTCCAAAAGAACACTGGACTGTTTTAGGGTAATTGGATTGTCATTTAAACTCTGCTCCTAGAAATAATAACAAGTAGCAACTCACATTTACTATGTCCTAGGCACTGTTCTAAGGACTATAAGGGTATTAACGCATGTAATCACAAGGGTAACTGAAGGACAACAGAAGGTTCTAGTATGAGCCAGATGTGCACCCTAAATGTAGGCTCCATTTCCTCTTCTGCACGAGGAAGGGCTGGAGCAGATGATTCCTCAGGTCCCTTCTTGCTCTGAAAGTCTGTTTTCTATCATTCTACCTAATTGTAGGTTTTCTTGTTAGGAACTCCTGACACTACTTCTTTAACCGACATCTCAGAGGACTCAATGATTCTGCAGCATTTTGAGAGCTGCACTTGATGGAGTTCTAAAATGAGCCGATGAGGAGGGCAGGAGGAGGAGGCCCAGAGCCTGGCAGCAGAGAACCTGGGAGTGGCACCTGCAAGGGCCTGGTTCCCTGGATGAGCCGAAGGCCAAGCTGTGCAGCACAGAAATGAAGCACGTGCCTGTGCCTTGGACAGGTGTTTATAGTGAAGTTAATCATCAAATGTGCCTCTACTGATGATTCTATATTCGAAATAAAATTATGGTACATATTCATTCCCTGTTGAAGAATCTAAATAATAGCAAAAGATAACAACAATTCTTAATTCTGTATCCTTGGGAATACCTGACAAGGTGCAGAAACTTCCTTCATACCTAGTTAATGAAGTCTGCGACCGGCACTGTGAATATACACAAACGGGGCCGCTGACAGTAACATTTCTCGGAGGAACACTTCCGTGACACCAAGAGACAGAGAGTCTTCACTAACTGCATGCTAATTACCTCTCTCTACAGGTAATTCATTACTTTCAAAATTCTCAACCACACAATCACTGGAGCATGTCTAAGAGTTGCAAATATAAGTTATTTTAGTCTACTACTTTTGCTTGTAATTACAAAGGCAGATAGTTTTCTAACCATTAATTGCCAGATCTGATAAAGGTCACTTTAATTATCCTACTTCTCCTTTCTGAAGAGCCACTCCCCACCCCCCCAATTTACATAGCTGTTTCTAAAACCGACTGCATTGGGGAATACTAAAGAAGAAAAACAGCTCCTTTTCCAGAGCCTGTGACAGACACTGAGAGACATAAAATCACACCATATTCTCTGCATCACCACATCCCCCCACCTCCTATAAAGAGCACACATCCCCACTGGTGCCATCCTTTCCTCCTGGCTGACCACAGTAACCCCTCCCTTAAAATTGCTCCTGTCACTCGTCGCAGCGTCTCGAGCACTCGCACGATGCCCAGCGTACAGTAAGCCTAGCCAACACTTGCTGTGTGAGCAAACACCTAGCAGCATCTACTGGATGCCAGGCCCCACCACGAGGGGTGAGTGGCTTCTAGTGTTTTGGAAAATAGCTGGAATCCCCTACTTTAAAGAAAGAACCAGAGGCTCCTTCTACGGAACCTTGCCGTGAAAGGTGGTAAGTGGCATACCCAAACATGATGCTCAGAATGAGACAGCACAGGGAACAGGGCCTGGGGTCATCAAGAAGACTGCTAGGAAAGCCACACCCTGGACCACAAGGAAACTGTCTGTTCTACGTAAGTGAGAGATCATTTACTTCCCTGTAAAAAATAGTGCAATACCAGTCTCCAGAACTTCCAGTTCTGAAATGAACTGTTGAGCCCTCAGGCTGTATCTCTGATTCGGACGCGGACTGGATCGCTGGAAGCAGAACACGCTGTTCTGAAGGGACCTAGAGGCCAACAGGGCATTCCTTCACCAGCAGAGCTAGGGAAAAATCTAGAAGAGTAGCAAGCACCAAGGTTTAACAACTAGGTGACCATATAATTTATCATCCAAATCAGGTCATTTATGGGAGATGAAAGGAGCACATTAATGATTCTGCCAGGACAACAGACACCAATCAGGAAGGACTGTCCTGGGGAAAGTAGGACACGTGTTTACCCTACCTAAAGCTCAAATTTAAGGTACTCACATCAAGTTCTACATGGAAGATCAGGCTAGTCCATGGGTGAAGAAGACCCCAAAGCTGAGATGCTACTAAATAAGCAATCTGTGAGTATGTCTCCTTTACCAGTTGTTTTGGGGTTCTGTCGTTGCTTACATGGCCGCTGTTTTAAGACAACCGTGAGTGGGCACCTTAGGTTCTCTCTCTCAGCGCATAATATCAGGACGTAGACACTGGCAGAGGAGACAACAGCCCAATATTGAAAGTGAGGAAGCTGTGAGTCCACGATCGCTCTAATACCTTGGTCTTCTCAGGTCTAGACCAGCCATTCCCCTCGCCACACAACGCCTTTGTTCTTAAGTAAACAGTGCCACAAATACCCTAATTCAATTCTCAGTGGTAAAACACATAGTTTCCATATGTATTCAAACTGGAATTGGAACAGAAGTCAATATCTATGTGAACAAAGACTGAAAAATGATGTGTAGAGAGAAAGGAGGGCCACTAATATCCATTTTCATAATTCACGCATGTGATTATCTTTTGACAGTGTTTAACTTCTCAATATTGGGAACCCTGATTGTCTCAAATGGTCCCTAACAGATGCACCCAGGAAGTCTCCTGCCACCCTCCCCACTAGGTCTCACACTCATTCATTTAATAACAACAAGAGCTGCCCACTGTGGATACTCTCAGCTTCACGGGGCAGCCAGCATACCAGCATTGTACAATGCAGCACCACAGGCCCACTCCCTCTTTACACTGTAAGTTCCTTTTTCCCTTTGTTAATACAAATATTTTTACTTTATTAAATGCTCTAAGTTGTAATGAAGAGAGACACAGAATTTAAGCTCAGTATATTCATACACGCAGAAGAAGCCTGTAACCTTACAATAATCCTTCTGCCCTTACATTGCTTTCCTTTTGAAAACAATAGACTTAAAAAGAAAAAGGATGTTCAATCACCACTTTTCTCAAGGTTAAAGAAAAAGTTAGGCCCTGGCTAGCATAGTTCAGTGGATTGAGAGCGGGCTGCAAACCAAAGCATCGCAGATTCGATTCCCAGTCAGGGCATGTGCCTGGATTGCAGGCCACGGCCCCCAGCAACCGCCCATTGATGTTTCTCTCTCTCTCTCTCTCTCTCTTTCTCCCTCCCTTCCCTCTCTAAAAATAAATAAATAAAATTTAAAAAAGAAAAAGTTAGACTCATCCCACCTAAAAACATTTTTATACCAAAAGTTATTTCAACTCAAAAATATATACTCCTTTGGATGTAAACAATACAGTAAGAATTTAAGCTGTGTTAAAATATTGTAGACATTGAGAGGTTGAGATTTAAGAGTGTAGAAACAATATGTTCGGTGGGTACAAGCAATTATAGGTTGAATTGAGGCTTTGTGTTAGATCAAGCAAACATGGCGTGCTAGGCAAGGGCTGGGGAATGTGGGCATATGTCCTAGGAGGTGGGGAGCACTCCTAGCATGAGCAGGATGTAGGGGTGTAAGCTTCTTTAAGGGTCACAATGGGAATTTCATGAGTTCCTAAACCATCTAAGAGGTTGCAGCAGAAATTTTAATGTGCAGGCACTCCTGCATCTCATAGGTGATGGTCCCATGCCCCATAATACAGTTAAGAACACTGCAGTATAATAAGAACAGGAAAGATAGGCAGGCCACAAATGAACAGATAGAGAAGTAGAGAACGGCAAAGTTAGGAGAGAAATAAGGGATAAACTTGAGGTGATATAAAAGCTGAGTGTCCACACTCAAGCTGGCTTGATTAGCCAACAAGAAGAGCCGGTTAGGAGTTCCTTTCTGATACAGAGAACAGATGGACAGCTGTCAGAGGGGAGGGGCTGGGGGCTGGGTGAAAAGGGTGAAGGGATTAAGAAAAAAATACTTAGATAAACAACAGTATGGTGATTACCAGAGGGAAAGAAGGTTGGGAGAGGTAGGAGATAGTGAAGGGGAGATAAGTGGTGATAGAGGGGAACTTGACTTGGGATGATGAATACACAATACAATATACAGATGATGTGTTAT